CAAAATCTGCAGCAACAAAGCATTGGACACGCTCAGTACGGTACGCAACCGTCGAGAGGGAAAACCGATTCGACTCGATTGCAATCGAATGGGATGGTGGCACTCGATTACGGAAGAGATCAAAATGCTCAAGAAATAAATAGACCGTACGCAGAACAGTCTCGACACTTCCCTGCTGGATCGCAGTATTACTTGAACGGAGTTTCGGACGTGCGGAGCGATCAGTATACCGGCGACAATGGTTCGAGCAGAACGCAAACCTTACCGGAAGGAAGTGGGTCCGCTCATCCGAATGAAATTGCTCCGATACGACCCGCGCTTCCAGAAGATGGATTCCGGGAGAGCCCTCCACCGCCACCGCCAACAACGACTCATCCCCTCTACAACAAATCAGATTCGAGGTAATACATGAAATAAGTTTCTCGGTTTTTGTCAGGCAACTAGAACGTAACGCGTTATTAAAAGTATCTTTTTCGTTTCGCGTAGATACACCGCGAGTATGCAAGATCCTCCTCGCGGTGGATATTATCCGGCAAATGGAACTGCTGGAACTACGTTACAGCCGCGACAGTATCAGTATAGCGCCACGAATCCGTGGCAACGAGAAGAGAGAGAAAAGGTAAAGTAGATGAAGATCAATTCATCGTAAAATACTTTCATATTTATTTCATGTGTCTATAACAGCTGTTATAATTGTTGTGTTATTATTATTACTAAATCGTACCATCACGGAGTCTTAAATAATTCTAGTACGATTAATGAACTCGTTATCGCGTTCATTAGCACGCATCTAGCTTATCGCGTGGTTTATGTGACACGCATTTAGTTTATCGTATTATTTATGTAACACTTTAATGTACATTTGAATCCTACGTCAGAGATATATGTCCGCAATGACTTGTCGTTTCATATCATTTTACGGATATATATAATATAATTAAAATATGTTTGAAATAATTGCAGAGATAACGTAAAGAAATTAAGAGAAATTGATTTAACGCGTAAGAAAGAGGATTCAAATAGTTTACCGTTATACATATATTATTTAGGAGCAAGCACTTAGAAGGGAAGCTGCGAGACAGTGGCGAGATCAACAAATAGCGGAGTTGGCCGCGTTACCTCATAGAACCTCGCAACAGGAGGAACAGCTTCGAGCTCTTCAGCTGGAAAGGGATTTTCAGAAAAGAGCCGAGGAAGTTGCTAACCAACAGGACGACGATGAAGAGAGTAACGATATGGATACCGAGAGCGTACAGCGAGTTCAGGGTTTGCTTCGTCCAGCCACGATTCAAGACCGAGGGAATCTGCTGGAACAACACAACCCTAATTTGTCTAGAGTGAACGTTGCCAATCAGTCTGTTCGGGGAAGCCACGCTGTTCAATCTCTCGGACCATCGATGCATTCTACGAGTGTTAACGTCCACGGCATTAGCACCCAGCAAAGCGTTTCGTCCATCTCTTTGAGCCAACCAGAAAACTCTGGCTCACACTTGTCCCAAAATTTGCAACACGAACAAATCAATCAAATGCAAAACAATGTCGGGCAGATACCGATGTCATCGTTGATTCAATTGGCCGCTTCTCAAAAGTCCTCTTCTCTTGGCGTTCCCCAATCCACCGAAGACAAAGAGATACAACGTAGGCAGGACGAGATTAAAAGAAAGCAAATCGAATTCGATGAAACTTTGAAAAGGAAGGAAGAAGAGGCTAAACACCAGCAAATATATCAACAGCAGCAGCAGCACCACCACCACCATCACCACCACCAGTATTTACAACAGACCCAACCTCATCTTAAGAATCAGCAAGTATTACATCCCAGTATGTTGCGGCTAGAGAACTTGGTTATCAATGGACCGAGTACACCTTGTAAGTACGCTCTGTATACGGTGGATTAAAACATATGAAACAATCGAATCGTATAAAACATCTTGTGTAATTATTTTACAGCAAATCAAAGTGGTAACAATGACGCACCTCTGCCACCGGAACGGGGTTCTAGTTACGCGGTGATGTCGCAACAGGGTGCACTCAGATCGAATACCGTAAATGCATCCAATATGATGCCGTTGACCCATTCTCAACAGTCGACGTCCATTAAGAGAGTCTCGTTTCACGACTCGAATGCAAACGCAGCGGAATCTATGCAACGGAATGTTTCGACTGGAAATTTGAGCACGCCTCCATCTACAACCATGGATATTATTTCGGAAGATCCAAATGTAAGATTCTCGAAATGTTTCTATTTTAATGTTCGACTAGTTTGGTTGAATCTTTATCTCTAGAAAAATGGTTGCTTTTATTTGATCGTAATCGCACGTATATCGCCTAATTTTAGAATTTTATTAACGATGCGGAAAGTTTATTGGCATCTCCGAAGACGCCGGAAGGATCCAGTATGTCGATTACCGGCAGCACACCTGGCGTGATAGGTGCTCAGGAAGTTTACAAGTAATGTCACGTTTTAGCTAGTGCACTGTATGTAAATTGACCGACAGGTAACTGATAAAAATGTTCAATGTGTTCAGGGATCCCAGACAAAGACGACTGGCTGAAAAGCAAAAATTGCAACAGAATTCTCAAATTGGGTCGGTACCTGAGAAGCTCAGCTTTAAAGAAAAAATGAAAATGTTTGCAATGGAAACAGGTGAGGATGGCACTCCTCGGGATAAAGTGAAGATTTCACGCGCCCAACGCGAAATCGATAACATAGGTAATCCTACCACTCTAAACAGTAATAACAGTAGCGGCAACACTAACAACAATAACAACACCGGCAGCAATACTTCCATCAACAACAACAACAACAATAGGAATTAAGACTGAAAGCCTAAATCAATCTCCTTCGTAATCTCGTAGTATCGTTACCGACCCGAATAGACGAGGTCGCGCGTAAAAAATCATTCCCAACCGACGTTTGCAAAGTTTCTGGTCAAAGCTATGTGCCGAGAAAGAACGCAAGCGTAAAACGATTAGCGACAAGAATTATTTAAGGCGAACGTATTCTTACCGTCGAATTATTTCTTGTCTTTGTGGTAGTTGACGTTCGATGTTCTCGATTCATCGTCTTGTTCTCTTGGGCCAATTTAACGTTAACGTTGAAATTTTTACACGCAACGAACATAGCTTACGAGAAATGCCGCTCCGGAACTCGGAACTTTTACGTTAACTTTAGCGAGACAGCATACGATAAAGATTATATTTTATGAATGTACATAGATGGTATTAGTTTAATTTTTAGAACTATTTTTTGTTATTTACAATGTTGTTTCATATTTATATTTGATATCGCACGTATCGTACCGAGTACGGAGTGTCTCGATGTCACGCGTATGCACGTTTTCGTTATTCAGCCGAACGACACGAAAAGCTTTTATGCGAATCGTTCGATAGAACGTGCGCGCGCGCGAACTAATCAAACAGGCAGCTTTAACGTAAGACTATACAAGTAGAAAAAAATGATACACGTCCAGTCTAAGGCAGTTTAACAATTTGCGACTACGATCGACTGTTGCGCGTCGTAGGTCTAACGCGTCAATAGTTGTCCAACTTTCACGCTCGTTCCATTCCGTTCCAGTTAAGTTGATTCTATCGGTAGTCAAACGTCGTTTTATTCCATGTCTATTCTTATCGACGGCTTATTGATGACCAACCGGGTAATTAGTTTTCTTAAGGAATTCGAAGAAGAAACACTCGAAGGAAAAACATAAAATGTTTCGATATTAATTGAAAAAAATAAGACATACTTAAACCTCGCGATGCGCGCGATGAGGTAACAGCGTAGTTGTTATGTTTTTCCAGCAGTTTTTTTTCCGTCGCATTGGTCTTGTTAATATGCGGAGCAAAAGCGGACGATTGTGACACGTGTAGCAAAAGTATCCTCTCTGTTGTCTATAACGAGCATATGGTATACCTGCACTATATTTTTTCTAATGTACTTGACGTTCCGTCGAAACGAAATCGAGTTCGTTGGCGACACGATTAGAGTACTCTGCGACTGTAAACCTTATTATCAAGTATTGTCACGATCTAATATCCTATACATTATCGATTATATTTTTAAAGATTACATATTTTTTAATTATTGTAAAAGAAGTACGATGCGAATGAGAAATACAAGCGTCCCTTGTAATTCCGAAAGCGGTGGAAAAGCTATGCTAGACGAATTTAAAGTTATTCGTCCATTGTATTTCGGCGGTATGTATGTATGGGTGTGTCTGTAAACGCAACGAAAATTTTGCGTCACATGGACTAGAAGCGGTAACAAAGTCTTTGAACGAGATGTAACGTAAAGGGAACAATCTTTATTAGAAAATCAAAAGTGTATTTGGTTTAGCGTACATAGAGGAAAAGAAGTATTCGTACACCCTTTGGTAAATTCGTAAAAGTAGTAATAAATAAATGCAGCTCGTGTATCGTCCATTAGCGATTAGAGTCGAAGCGTTGGTCGATCTCCTAGGAGAGACTAAACGAAACGATCGGTCTTTGGTTTCGTATACGTCCATTCTGTGGTCGAACGAGGAATCTTTTAAATCGTCGTTATTAAAAATTTTATATTTTCTATGTAGATATAGTTACCGAATGATTCTAACATCTGTATAAAATATAACGAGCGAATAAATTTAATTTGTCTAGTGTGCAACTACCATTTTCATCGACGTGTATATATACCTGGAAAATATTTTTACAGTCAACCATGTTCCCACATTGATGATAAATGTACTAAAAGTTTGCAATGTTTCCTTTAGACTCGAGTTCACTGGAGAGCAAGCAATTTTGGACACAGTTCAGTGGCCATCGTTGATTTGATATCACGCTCAACGGTCGTGCAGTCAGTCAATTGAGCAGCGTTCGACTTACCGACGTCTTTTGCCTTTCGTTATCTGGAAGTACGAGATAGAGAGCGCAGATGCGTGGTAACGGTATAGTCGTGTTTAGTTGACATTGACTGGAAATTTGCCGAGGGAGGCGGCATTGTCGTCTCGTGTCGCGTCGGTCGGAACGAAGAAATTCCTCGGCGTTCGATTCGCGAAGTACGGTGGGGCGTCTTGATCCAAATTTAGTCAAACCGTGGCAATTGATCCGAATGCATCGAGAGAGACTGCGCGATTTATCCGAGTTCGTAATATTTGCAACAGTGAATTGTACGAAATAACTTCGTAAGCCAAGGCACCTTCTACACGTTTTCTCATCGATACGTTTACGGGTTAATTTATGAAAACAAAACTAGGAAACGTTCTTTCGCCACAGATACCTTCTATTAAAAAATATCTCGAGTCGTGTGTGTCGGAGTTGAGCACCGGTTAGAAAGGTAAAGGAAGGTCTACTAGGACGGAAACGTAAAAAGTGGAAACATCGATAAATAAACCGAAATAATTGATAATTTTGTAAAAATAATCAAACTGTAGAACCAGCGTGCACGCTCGCGTGCTATTATCACCGACACAACTCTAAAGGTAAATGTTCTTTTTATTATTTTCCATGTTTCATCTATGGAAACATAGTTTAACGCAGTTTATCGTTGATATTTCCACAAGTATTTCTCTAAAACTGTCTACGTTAGTCTGATAAATTTACTTTCAAAGAAATTCGACGAGACCGTGTAATTCTTGGAATGTGTAGGTCCTGTTTACGTAGCATGCATACAAACACCGGTCGAGCATCGTTAATTTTTACGCGTGAACAATTTTGTTTAACACCTTAACATCGACGAGGAATCTGTAGTTGTGTGCAGTCGTTATACATTTAATTTGCAAATTTCAAGGTTTCGTTACCATGCTATTCCTTTCACAGATTCATTTTCCTTGGAATTAACAAAAATGTGGATTAAAAGCACAGACTGCGTTTATTTTTAATCCTTGTGACGAACGTTGTCGGTGTTAGGATCAAAAGTCAATGCATTATCTTAATTAAATCGCATGCTATGTAAACATATCCACTCTTGCACTCAATGGGAGTTTCCGCGTAGTATTATCAGATTTTTGCGATAAAAATTCGGCGTATCATACTTGGGAAATTCGAGGGATTGTTGAGTAAACGATGACATACGATAAGCATTTCACGAATCGATCGAGTGAAATTTAACATTGTACGGATAAGGAAACAATCTTAACTGATTATTCGGAGAAACCTGAACGCTATACATATACAAGGTGTTCCAAAAATGTTGTAACACCTTGAAATGAATGGTTCGGAAGGTGATTTGAAACAATTTTTTTCTTTAGCGAAAATGTTGTCTGAGGCTTCGTTAAGGAGATATTAAAGGAAAACACTGACCAATCAGATTGCGAGTATGCCGATGGAGCGCTCGCGATAACGTATGAGCGCTGCCGTCTGTCGCGTAGCCGTAGCCTACGTTCAACCGGCACACTCGCGCTTTGATTGGTCAGTGCTCTCCGTTAATATCTCCTTAACGAAACCTCGGACAACATTTACGCCAAGGAAAAAGTTGTTTCAAATCACCTCCCGAACCACCTCTTTCAAGGTGTTACAACATTTTTGGGACACCCTGTAGAATAACCACGGTTAAAAAAATAAATGTTCTATGTAATTTTCGTTGACGTAGAAAATTTCAAAGTCATTGGTATTTTCGACGGCTTGCATACGCGGCAAGAATTCTTGATTGCGAGAACTTCGCTTTACAGTTCGATACCATCGAAGGAAAACTACGCGCTACCGAACAGGCAGTAGCGCAGAATTTGTACAGCGATAATAGCCCAAAGTTGTTATCAATGAGCTTCGCGTTACCAAAATAGAAATGTATTTTAAGGGAAACCTAGAGTTTTCCAGGTCCTGTCGACTTTATGGCATCGGGCCAAATATTGCCGCCAGGCCAATCTACCGAGTTGCCGAGTAAGTGGAACACATGAACGATGTATCGATTGGTCGTCGAAATCTGCAAACTCGAGCAGACCAGTTTTTTTTTCCTTTTCAAACGACTAGGAAAATTGAAAAGGAAGGAAATAGACGATGTCGATCAGCAAAGGAGTGGTTCCTTTACTTCGCTTCGCGGCTTCCTGACATTTGTACTTAGGAATCTCTCGAATGGTGACCCCACTATAAGCATTTATGCTATACGTAGACAAAATACGTAACAAAGCTTCGATACATGACCTCGAAAAGTGTGTTTTATAGAAACTTATTTCGCCCAAAATTCACCGTCTTATCATACATTCTTTTGGCCGCTACTCGTTATACAGGGTGTCCCAAAAATATTGTAACACCTTGGAAGGGGTGGTTCAGGAGGTGATTTCAAACAACTTTTTCCTTAGCGAAAATGTTGTCCGAGGCTTCGTTAAGGAGATATTAACGGAAAACACTGACCAATCAGAGCGCGAGTATGCCGATGGAGCGCTCGCGGTATGAGCGCGGCCGTCTATCGCGTAGCCTATGCTCAACCGGCATACTCGCGTTCTGATTGATCAGTGTTTTTCGTTAATATCTCCTCAACGAAGCCTCGGACAACATTTTCACTAAGGAAAAACTTGTTTCAAATCACCTTCCGAACCATCCATTTCAAGGTATTACAACATTTTTGGGACACCCTGTATACTAAAACAACGAGTGTTAGCGATCTCTTCATAACGTAAAAGCTCTTTCCCATTGGAAATCTAATTTACATTTTTAAGTAAATAATTTCTTTAACCATTACAAGTAAATTAGCGATATTTTTAATTAAGTTGCCCCTTACATTTAAACACATTTGGCTAAATTATCTGTACAATTATTTCTTCAGCTTAATCTACACAATTATTTCCCCGTACATAAATTACACCGTAGATAATACGTAACGGCTTAATCTTCTAAGCGGAAAAAGCTGGCGTTTTGAATGATACGGTCGACGGGTTTCGATACATTATCAGTTCGTTCATTCTCAGTCTGCGTGGGTCCGTGAATCGAAACTTGCACAGGCGATAGTCCAAGTCTTCCACGACAGCGTATCTTGGGTAACGATCAGCGGCGCATTTAAGCTTATCAGGGCTTCGAGTTAATCACCTCGGGGGCTACTTTCATTTTAATGAAACGGTTTACGAAAGGAAACTGACGGCATCAAAGTACAGGGTGTCCCAAAAATGTTGTAACACCTTGAATGGGGTGATTCGGGAGCAGAGATGGGCAAAATTCTAGACTTTGAATAAATCTGAAGATTGCCGATATGTTTGTCTCGTTTCCTCTTTTAAACATTTTACAAAGAAGGAAACGAGACAAACACATCCGCAAACTTCAAATTTATTCGAAACCTAGGGATGGGCCTTTTACCCATCTCTGTTCGGGAGGTGATTTGAAATAACTTTTTCCTTAGCGAAAATGTTGTCCGAGACTTCGTTTAGCAGATATTAACAAAAAACACCCGGACCAATCAGAGCGCGCGTATACCGTTGAAGCGGCCGCGGTAGCGTATGAACGCGGCCGCCTAGCGCGTAGCCTACGCTCAACCGGCATACTCGCGCTCTGATTGGTCGGGGTTTTCGCTTAATATCTCCTTAACGAAACCTCGGACAACATTTTCGTTAGGGAAAAAGTTGTTTCAAATCACTTCCTGAACCACCCCTTTCAGGGTGTTACAACATCTTTGGGACACCCTGTATATCGATTTCCTACTAATCTCATATTAACTCTTTCCTCCGAATGATTCATCGCACAGATTCGCGACGTCAATCACAATTGATAAATTAATGATAGCTAATGAGACGATTATTGGGTATTAAACTAGTCACCTGTTTTTATAGCGTTAATATATCCATCTATACTAATATCGGATATTCTCATCGATATTATACGCTAACAAAAATAAGTAGGATAATGTTAGTGTAAATTTATTTAAACAAACAAAAAAAGTTACGGTATAGTTGTGCGAGGCCCTTGAGGCGCCGCCTGTTTCGCCTCGTAGGGCCGCCACTGGCCCTTGGCAACGACATTTCCGTAAAGACAATAAAATAGGTATCTTAATGAAATTTTTATTACGCGGTAGGCACTCGGTGTTGTTTTGGTAATGGAATTCGTAAAAGGTTCCGCGAACGTTCGTTAGAGCGATAAACAGAGTTAGATTAGGCGAAGCATTGGTTACAGAACGAATGCAATCGGTGGAAACGCGGCGGGGACAGTGGCGGCGAGCAGGAGGGGGAAGGTGGAGCGAAGCTAAGGAAAGCTCGATGGATCGATCGGGATACCGTGATACGAAGCGAGACGGAACGAGAAACGAGTATCGAAGGGGAGTCTGGTCGAGACGAGTCGAAATCCAGCGTTGATACGTAGTAAATCAAGTAAAATAACCAAAGACTCGCGACGGGACGTGACGGGACAATATAGAACACGACAGAACGAGACTAGAGGGAAACGTGGAACCGTCATGTAGATCCGAGTTATCGGTGGGGATAAAATACGACGCGAGTCGCGAAAAAATTGAACGGGAGACCATAGAGAGGGTAAATGGCAGAAGGGAAGGGAAGATGAAACACGAGCGAGAAAGAAGAACGGTAGTAGGCCGGAAGCTTTTTAGCAACAGTCAAAGGGTCAGGAAATCAGTTGATGCTCGAGATTTCGAGAGGTCGGTGTTTCTTTGAATTACCTGGCGATCGAAGTAACGCGAGTCGAACGAAAACAAACTGTGTGTCGACGTCTGTGTATCGGGGGTAAGCATGTACGATTAATTACCGTAACGCGGTAGTCATAATTTGCGAGCCACGCGACGCGCTGTACCGTAAAAACGTCTCTCTAAGAAGAGCTGGCTGGCAGCCATCTTCCGAGAAACCACATGTCCCATCTCCAAATTTCTGTACTCTCCGTGTTGTTGTGTACGCAACCAATTTTTCGGATAACAATTATTTCCTTTGAAGGGTTGCCACCTCGTCCTAGTAATTTTTGGTCATTTTTTTGTAACTAGACTGCGGATTTTATGTATTCACAATATACAATAACATAGAAGACATTCATAAAATATACACATAATGTACGTTGAATATATTCCACAATTATTATAATAATATTATTTCATTTCTTCTAAGTGGATATAACTTTTGGTTATGCTTAACATGTGTTTATTATGTTAGTTTACATCATACATGCATAAAATCCGCAGTCTAGCAGAGATGGGCAAAACCCTAAGCTTTGAATAAATCTGAAGTTTGCCGATATGTCTCGTTTCCTCTTTTGAACATTTTACAAAGAAGGAAACAAGACAAACAGATCGGCAAACTTCAAATTTATTCAAAACCTAGGCTTTTGCCCATCTCTGCAGTCTAGTTATAACAGAAGACAGCCAACAGAAATAGGAGTTAGACGGTAGATCAAACTTCTACAAAGAAAATCTTTTTATTAAAATAAAAGTGTCGATATATCTAGTAACGGATATGAAACGATTAGCATACCGACCAATGTTTATATTACCACTTTTTTCAATCTGTTTTGTTCATTCACGTATACGTTACTTGGAATATTTCGCGGCAGATGGCGTTGTAATCATTATTTGTAAACTTCCGAGAATTTCTTCAGAGTGGTAAAAATGAAGGTGGCCACCGTGCTCTACTCTTGTATTTTTATAATAACAATTTTCGGTTGGCAGTTTCTGTTCTACATACATACATTGGAATAAACGACGAACGATTTGCTGGTGATCCAAGTCTGACGTAACCACCACGCAATATGATAGTTGTCAAGTGCTCATTAATGTATTTTACAGTCTTATCGTAATGTTCTTTTGCGTTTTACTTTTACGTTGTTTAATAGATGTTGCATCTAATCTACGAGTAGTCATTGCAATGACAAGGTTTCAGTCCTCGAGTTCAGAGGCCAGGGGATACGAGATAAGAGGAGAGGGGGATCGAATGCTGAAAAATTGTAATACAACTTTGACCAAGAAAAACGTAAACAGTTTTTTTTTTTTTTTACATCAAAGAAGGTTTGAATGTTAACGCAGCATTTACAGTTTTCACGGTAATAAATGTCATGACTTTTAATATCGGTACTATGAAAACGGATTATGCTGCGTAATTACGTTTGCAACATTAACGAAATGCATAAGGATTTCGTTAGACATATTTAACGCATCTACAAGCGTAAAAGCATCGTTAATATAATCGATAGCGATGGGGTAGGTGAAATACGCCAAGACGGTGGCGAACGTCTTATTTTTCACAAAAGTAACGATCCAAAGAACAGTGGTAAATTTAGACTAATCTGAAGGTAGTTGCCTCGAGGGGAAAACTTTCCAACGGAATGTTTGAGAATATGAAACCATGTTTGGTAAAAAATTATATTTATTCGCTAAATCTTGTAGATACAAATCTTGTACATCCTTATCGTTAACAATAAGTTCACGATAATTAAAATATTATCTACACGAATACGAATTGCGCCAGGTCTCAAGGACAAAAAGTTTCTCCTATTCATTCGAGTAATAGTTAGATTGAACTATCCATTAATAACGAGCCTTGAGAGTTGAGAGTCTCTTCTACGGGGAGGCCCGAAGCTAAAATTGTAAATCCCCCCGCCCTTGCCAGTGACGTACTCGACTCTGCTGCATAGGTGACGCTATCTTCGAGGGGTGCACGAGGCCCACCCGGTCTCTTCCTCGATATATTTACTATACTACCGATTCTATGCGATACGAAACGCGCAATAACTGGGTCTAGTTTCTCGCCTGCTCGAACTCGACCGCAGAGGTGACCCCCGTCGTTAACGATATCGATTGTTTTCCGGATCGAGTTCGCGACACATCGTATTTCACCGTGCGCATTTTCTGAGAGCAATAAAGGCTACACCGGCTATAGATACAAGAAACCAGATGGAAATGTTCACGTAATCCCTTTTGCCCCCCGCTATTCATCTCGGCTACCGTTTCCTATACGATCCAGTGCCGTCTAACTCATGGGTACGCTTGGGCCCTTCAGAGTCTGAAGTTCAGACTAAGGCCGAACGTACACGGGCGCAACCGATTTGAAATTAGTGTTGCAATCCGTTAGCGCTCTTTGTTTTACTTACTCCACTACCTTTATTTTACCTAGATCCACGGTCGCATGCAACTAGTTTCAGAGTGGTTTGAAAAAACTGATCAGTTGCGTCCGTGTGGGATCGGCCTAATGAGCCCCATGCTAATCCGTGTTGAACACATCTGTGGCGCAAATACATATACTCGTGAAAACGGTGGGCTCTCATTTCTTTTTTTTTTATTCGGCAGTATTTAAATGTAATAAGGGGCCCAGCGGTGTGATTCGTCCGAAGGCCCAGAATGCTGTCAAGACGGTCCTGACATGATCGTTATCCTCTGTGTAGCTCGTTGCGTACCTTACTTTACGTACATGCAAACGATACAAAGCATTAAGCTTCTCGAAAAAAAAAAGGAAAATTATTTAAACCGATACGGGAAATGTAATTATTATATCGAAGCGTAGTTTCCTACGCCAACTAATAAAGTAGATAATTGTAATACTCCTAATGAGCTTTCAAATTTGCAAGTTTAAACACGACGATTAAATTGAAATTTGCGTCAAGGCGTTAAGAGCCGTATCGTCGGCCCTGTTTGTATATAAAGACGCGATCGACCATTCGAAGTGTTTCTCTCGCGTCTTGAAACAATTAAATTTGCGTATAACCGATACATGCGGAACGTAACACTTGTGTCGTCGTTACCGCCGTGACTCCCCTCTTTTAGTTGTTCACAGTCTGTCTTGCTGGATACGGTTTATCTATTGCATTAGGTGATTAAGTACGCGCACGACTTTACGTAATAAACGGCCACGGTCTAGTGCCGCCTCTAGCGATAGGCCAAGTATACATATACAGGGTATCCCAAAAATGTTGTAACACCTTGAAAGGGGTGGTTCAGGAGGTGATTTGAAACAACTTTTTCCTTAGTGAAAATGTTGTTCGAGGGTTTGTTAAGGAGATATTAAACGAAAACCCCGACCAATCAAAGCACGAGTATGGCGGTTGAGCGTAGGCTACGCGCTAGATGGTTGCGCTCATACGCTACCGCGAGTGCTCCATCGGCATACTCGCACTCTGATTGGTCAGTGTTTTCCGTTAATATCTCCACAACGAAGCCTCGGACAACATTTTCGCTAAGGAAAAAGTTGTTTCAAATCACCTTCCGAACCATCCATTTTAAGGTGGTACAACATTTTTGGAACACCTTGTATGTATAGATGTCAAGCTTTGGGAGCTTGGCGCCGATTGTATTCATTTTCGAAGCACCAATTGAAATCGATCAATTTTTGTTCGTTTTATCCCGTACGATATACAAGAGAACATGTAACAAAAAGCCACAAGCTGAATAAGTAAACACAGCAGAGTATTTAGGCGTGCTTAAGAGTACTCGAACAAATCCGATTGTACTTTTAAAGAAATACAAATCATAGCATTTAGGGGAGGGGGAAAGGGGTGCCATTCGACGTCAACCACCACCCCCCTTGAGCCGACCCTGTGTTGATTCGGCGCGCGCCTGCGCACCTGCACGGATTCGATTCGATTTTCAACGATGCATAGTGCATCCATGCAGGTTCGTTTAGTTCAGTGCAAACTGGTGCGAACAGGACGTCAGGGTGTAAAACACAGGATCGCCTAGCGTTCGCTTATCCGTGCTTCCTTTATCGTTGGTTCCCTTGCAAAAAAGGATATCGAATTCCGTTTGATAAAAAGAACCCTCCTACATCGTAACCTGTTTCAGATTGAAAATATGAACGTAGCCGAGCCTTGGTCTTTACCACCGAAACAGGCTCTTTACGACCCAATTCTCGAGAAGGATGCTTGCGGCGTTGGATTTATCGTCTCCATAGATGGAAAGAAATCGCACAAGGTGAGTCGTTGACACCGATGCTTTTTTTCCTCCGTCAAGTTCGACAACTGAAGCCTATAATGTAGGTAGGAGTATCTTTCAAACCCCGTTGTATAACGAAAAATTATCACGACTTCGGTTGTCGACTTTATCCTGAGCTTCTCATCGGCAGTGACGGGCAAAACCCTAGGTTTCGAATAAATCTGAAGTTTGCCGATATGTTTGTCTCGTTTCCTTCTTTGTAAAATGTTCAAAAGAGGAAACGAGACAAACATATCGGCAAACTTCAGATCTATTCGAAGCCTAAGGTTTTGCCCATCTCTGCTCATCGATTTAGCAGGAAGGTCTACCTAGGACAAACAAGGTTCATGCTCGTGAATAAAATAATAAAATTTCTGTTTGACCCCCAAAAAAATAATTAGGCACCCTTTTTCAGATCGTTCTAGAGTCCCGATTGAAACTAAACGCGATGTTTGTTTTATCTATAACATACCACTGAATCAATTATGATTATATGAATGCCTTTTGCGTGTTCTGTTTTGCAGATTGTTCGCGATGCGGAGAATCTATCGGCACGCATGAACCATCGCGGTGCTTGTGCCTGTGACAACGACACCGGTGACGGCGCCGGTGTACTTTGCGCTATTCCGCACGAGTATTACGCCGAAGAAATTCGGTAAGATGCGGTCGAAGTAGCGAAGATTTCCCTATCGTAATCATTTACAAAATGGGTTTACCAAGCCTCATCGAATCGAATTAATTTATCATAATTTACGTTTTAAACCATTGTCAGATACTTCCAGTTTCGTATTCTTTGGACTGTATGGTATTATTAAAAAATCCTCGTTACATTTCCCTTCGGGTGAAACAATGCTGGTGAAAGTATATAAGTTTCAGCCGTTCTAAATTTATAATCTTAATAATTTCCAATTTCTTTTTTAACGCTAAATACGCTAACTAAATAAAGTTTTTTATCTAAAAAAAAAAAAAACTAAATAAAGCTAACGCTGAATACTTCCAGTTTCGTATTCTTTGGACTGTATGATATTATTAAAAAATCCTCGTTACATTTCCCTTCGGGTGAAACAATGCTGGTGAAAGTATACAAGTTTCAGCCGTTCTAAATTTATAATCTTAATAATTTCCAATTTCTTTTTTAACGCTAAACCTATCGAGATTTCGTTAATGTGTTTCGCGTTTACGACTGAGCGATTGTCACCGAGTGTTTCCTATAAAGATTAAGTACTACGGACATTAGTCTGACTGATGCGAGAAATACTGATTCAACGTATTGCTGGTATCAGCGCATCCGATTTCATAATCCTTGTGGGTTGACTGCGTTGCTTGTAGGCTATCGTGTTACGCGCGAACGTCACTTAACGTACAGAAATATTGCGTGTTTACCCTCTTATCACCATTATCATTAGCGAACAATCTATCACTGCACAATCAGTATTACGTGTTTACCCTTCGTCTCATCCTATTTCTTGTTTTTCGCTGTATCACGTTCTTGTTCTCGTTCCTCGTATTCATGCATTCGCAGCGTGTTGCTAATAATAGTTTAAGCAGCGTCAAGCAAAATGTTAATTAAACGCATGACAACGTACGACTGCGTTAATTGTTAATCTTCCGTAACGGTTGGCGATAACATTAATCGCTAATTGGTCTATACAACCGACGTTGAAAGTAATTGCCTCCAATTTCTTGCGATCATAAGACGAGTACTTATTATTTAAATTGAATATTTGAAATAGCTGAAATTGCGTAATTGCGTCAGTGTTAATTCTGTAATTAACCAGTTTTTAAGTATACGTATGTTGAAAAAGTTGTAATTTAATTTCCTAAAAAAAATTAGCTTTGATCGATTAATTGGGAATGCCGAGCTTAAATGCGTTGGCGAACGTAAAGGGAGATAAAGCGGGGTATACGGAAGACGTCACTAAATGGATATGTACCATGTGTATAGTACCGGATATTAATTCTACTGATAAGGAGAACCAACACCATCGATTACGTTCATCGAGAAAACATCTGTGCATTGATAATCGTTGCTGAAAATCACACAAGTTGCAGCTGTCTCCGTTTATCATTCTATGTTTCTAGAAGAAAGAAAAAAGAAATGTCAAGTTCAGGCAGTCCGAAGTCTAATTAACCGCCCCTCCCCCCCTCCCCTCCCCCCCTTTCGACACTTATCAACGTTTGAGTAATCGCGCGTGCAATTGTACGCGATTCGACCAAATAGTACGTCAGAGAGATAGGCAAAATTTGTATCCGAATAACAAGATAACCAACTATTTATTCGTTACGCATTAAATAAAATCTAGAATTCGAATTATAGGTGATACATTTCACGATGGATCTATCCAAACAAAGAAATGTTTATACATAGATTTCATTTATTCGTCATCCTATTATTAACGCAGATTACAAACCATTCTGAATTTATTTTTCAGCGAGGGAAAAAATATCGAATTGCCGAAATTTGGCCGTTACGCTACCGGTATTCTGTTTCTCGATAAAAATACCCACGAAGAAGCTGAGGCTGCGTTTGAAAGATTAGCCGAGGAATGCAACTTGAAGGTAAGACGTCGTCCACGTTTTTGCACTCGCGCGCGTCCGCGTTTCATCCTTTTAAATAGATATTTTGTTCCGCAGGTAATTTGTTGGCGGGATGTTCCCACCGACAACTCACGGATTGGCCAAGTGGCGAGAAAATGCGAACCTTACATGCGTCAAGTCTTTGTAACAGGTGATCAGGATGACGTCAGTCTCGAACGGCAGGTAAACATTATTATTATAAATAGGAAGACCCTTTTGAAACGAAGGTCTACGAAGTTAAAATGCTCTCCAAGCCAACACCTATTATTTTTAATTGCAGGTTTTCGTCTTGAGGAAACGATCGTCCCATTGTATACCACGACCAGGATTCAGATACTACATATGCTCGCTCTCCGTACGGACGATCGTTTACAAAGGCCAATTAACGGCAGACCAGCTGTGGCTTTATTTTTTAGATTTAAAGGTGACTAAAATCTGTTGAAATAGTATAATAGTTTATTGGTACATTTGTCTGTTACCAACGCGTTTGTTTTCGTTGCAGTCACCAAAATTCGAGACATACTTGGCGTTAGTTCATACAAGATTCTCCACGAATACATTTCCAAGTTGGGAAAGGGCACACCCTCTTCGGTAAGCGGTTGCAGCGAAAAACAAATCGACATTATTCTCCGAACGATCGATTAATCGCACGACGAATGATGAATCGTTTTTCGCAGGTTGTTGGCGCACAATGGCGAAATCAACACTTTACGAGGAAACGTGAACTTCATGAAAGCTCGCGAGGGAGTGATGAGCTGCAAAATTTTCGGAGACCAATTAAAAGATCTCTATCCCGTAGTTGAACCGAATCTGTCGGATTCAGGAGCTGCCGATTGCGTCCTGGAATTCTTGGTGATGGCGGGACAACGATCTTTACCAGAGGTATGTTATATAAAGTCGATTGTCCGAGTGGTGTATTCAAATTTTGAAACTTGCATCCGTTATAAATAATTCAGGCGGTGATGACGATGGTACCGGAAGCTTGGCAAAACGATTTAACGATGGCAACGGAAAAGCGCCACTTTTATCATTGGGCCGCTTGCGCGATGGAACCTTGGGATGGCCCTGCATTGTTAACTTTTACAGATGGACGTTACGTTGGAGCTATTCTCGACAGGTAGAAACTAACGTTTTTTATCTCGCGCGATTCGAGACGAGAGTTCACTTTTTACCCGTTTTCGTGCATCTCTGCTCTCGTAGACATACACAGCCATTTTGAAAAAGAGTCGCAATGGAAGTTGGAATGCGGCTCGCATATTCTTTATTTGCTACTCAAAGTCTTTATCTAAATTAGACTTTCGAGGTGCTGATCGAAAGAGATTGTTACGAAAACGGTGTACGAATCGAATACAATGACTGCACGTTAGAGAAATGTTACGTGCGAGTGTATATGCCCTTCCGTACTCGCGTACATGCATATACGCTTTCGCGAAGCGTAACCTTTGCGTACCTACGCGTGTAACCAGAGAATCGACGAGCCTATATGTGTACTCTGTGTTATATACGTGTAACGGGACTCGAGTAAGTCGAACGTATACAAATGGGTAAACATGGATTATCGAGGTTTTGGAGGGAAGCAGGTAGGAGCGTCAAAGATTTGCTTACAACGTGGAATGTCGAAAGGTAGGAAAAAATTCGATAAGCGTTTCCAGAGGATATAAGGTCGTTATAAGAGCGAATTCGCTTCCCTCCGAGGCTCGTAGGCAGAGGAGCGCGCGGAAACTCTCACTCGTATCCAGTGCCTACAGAATCGATGTTTACAGAAACATAGATACTCATCCTTCTTTCAAGGTTGAGTGGCTAACGAGTGCGAAAGGTAAATGGGCAAAGTGCGGACAAAGAGAGCGAATGTATGTGTGTATGTAAGTATGCACGCCTAGAAGCATGTATACATATATATATATATATATTAGCGAATGCCAACAGGAAGGCAATGCGAGAAAACGAACAAGAATATAGTCACAGTTGATAATAGCGTGCGAGACTGAGGTGGTAATACAAAAGACTTTTTTGAATTTTTGTTTGGCAGAAACGGCCTGCGCCCGTCGCGCTTCTACGTCACTAAGGATAACATGATGGTGATGGCGTCCGAAGTGGGCGTCTATGATACTCCACCCAGCAATGTAGCCCTGAAGGTAAACGAGGATATAAACGCATCACCGGGCTGGCCTACCCTCTGGATAAGTTTCCCAGCCGAACAAGCTCTTGACGAGCGATCGTCCCCGTCTATATGATGCTCCTTCTGTGTATTGTGTTCGACATAGACAATTTCAGCTCTAGGGGGAAGACTACGCATGGAGGAAACCTTTTTTTCGAACACGGCCGGAGAGCGATAAGCGCTGATCTGAACTCGGACAGAGCCATCGAGGACGCGCGATCAAACACACCGGGTGCTCTCGATAATTCTTATATCCTGTGCTCTCATACGCTTCATTCCTTCCATCCATACTTCATTCGCGATCCTCGTTCATTTTTTCACGTCGTCTTTCTTACGCTTACTTTTCAACGGATCTATGGGTCGAACGAAAGTGCTGTTCGCTAACGGTATTACCCAACGCTCGCGACGAATTCGTATTGCGCAATTCTGGTTTCGCCACGAAGGTACCAGAGATCAACTCGAGAAACAGCTTACGAATCGAACGAGCGTTGCGTGTACCAAATGTTTACACCTTTCTATCGAATTAATGTTGTAGGTGAGGTATCTCTCTGTAAAAACGAACGATCCGATTCACCGTCCAATTCAGCCATGTCGCCCATTCTGTCTCATCTCTTTCGTTCTACGTATTCGCTTTAGTTTTTACGCATATAGACGATCATATTGTATTTTATTTATTTTTGAACATGTCATATGTGATGTATAATTTGTCATTTAGGAAGTAGGTTTGTATAGAGTCGTAGGATCGTCATCCAGAGCCGCCTTGTGAACGTTGAACGGTCTTAGATACTGTTCAACAATTGTTATCTGCGTTTTGTTTTATTTCCAGAGCCGTTTGAAACCAGGAAGAATGCTGCTTGTCGATACTCACGAACAGAGGATCATTCAAGACGTTGAACTGAAGATGGAGATTGCTAGAAGCAGACCACACTCGCAGTGGCTGAAAGATCAGGTATTCTTCGCGTTTCATTATTCGCCATTACGACGTAACGATACCTTCGTTACTTATCAGAATCATATTGTGCTTTATACATTTGTTTGCTCCAAGCCATTTACTCCGCCTGCCTACTCGTATCGTACACATACCATCCCTAGTATCGTGTAGAAAATCCAAGTAATCCACCATCCATGTCGATACGTTTAATACAAAAAGGATTTGTCTTTCTTTTCCAATCTTACCTACGCGCGGTCATCGTGCTGTATCGCGCGCAGATGGTGAGTCTTGTCGCATATCACTTGCCGCTTTTACCGTCTACGCAGAGTTCGTGCATGTGTATCGCATGTACATATTCTATTTTCGAAAAGTTAATCGTGCTTGTCAAATTTTTTCGAATAAAAAACGATGTACCCGTGACCGAACAAGCTATACGTTTGTATAGATTGTTCGCATAGTAATAATCGCAGAAATAGAAAGTAGATACATATATAGGTACATGGTTTTTATTCGGCATTCAATTTCAACAATTTTTACAGCGATCATTTACTTACTCTGTCGTATCCGTGCGCGGTGATTTCGGAATAGCGGACGCAATCATACGCAAAGCGTGCTTTTGTTAATTCGAATTTGCTTTCACCCGCTCAGATCACGATGGAAGAGTTGCGAGCTGCCGACACTGGTCGCGCAGAGACGCCATCCGAAAACGGCTCGACGATAAACGAAGACACGATCAGAAGAAACGCAGCAAACGACACGAATCCCATATCTGCTGTGAATCGAGTTTGGGGAGGCGATAAGAGACTATCCCTCTATGGATACACGCTAGAAACCATTAATATGTTGCTTTTACCAATGATGCAGTCCAAGTACGTGCCATATTTTGTTTATCCGACTTTATCGTTTGGTACACGTTAACAAACTTACGTATTTTTTTATTTAGGAAAGAAGCGCTGGGCTCCATGGGCAACGACGCACCGCTTGCTTGCCTATCTCAGTTTCAGCCACTCATCTACGAGTATTTTAAACAATTGTTTGCCCAGGTAAAACTTCCGCTGTAACGAAAAATTTTGTATTAATTATCGCTAATAATAAAGGTTGATTTATACCATCCGCACAGACGCGGAACGGTTCCGTATCGGCTCCGTTCCGACACAGACACGCGTGTTTATATTATATGTTCGTCGATCGGTGGTACCGATCAGTCAGTTAATAGAAAGCGTTTCGTGAAGGCACGTAATAGCACAAACAGGACAAATGTTTTCACATTTAAGTATGCGAGATTTGGCTGTAATAGCTATACTATTAGATGCAAACGAAGTTGTAAAAAAGAGATGCCGCCGTTTTGGTGTGCACAAGTGCTTGAGAAGAAGAAAAGTTGAAGGAGAATATTGGACACTCTACAAAAAACTAACAGACGACGAAAAAAAGTTTTTTTCAATATTTTAGAATGTCGGAATATAGTTTCAATTTTGTGTCTGAAGTCTAAATGGAACCGAAACATATATTGACGATCCGATACGTTCAGACACGTTTCGTATCCGATAAAGTATTCTTCTCGAGAATCCCGGATGGTCGGACCGATGTCGGAGGGTGTCTGTCCTGATACGATACGATATTTATAAACACCTATATACAAATTGCATTATTACATACTTTTCTGATCAGTGCTCAACGGATACGTTCCGGGTCTGTGCAGATGGTATAAATCGATCTTAAATTGTGCCTCGTGTTCCCGATCTCTCATCCTGTAACATTCTTCAGGTTACGAATCCTCCGATAGATCCGTTCAGAGAGAAGATCGTAATGTCGATGCTTTGCCCGATCGGTCCCGAGAGTAACATCTTGGAGCCTAGCGCTTTGCAAGTGCATAGACTATTTTTACCGCAACCGATACTGTCCTTGGAAGACCTGGAGATAATTCGTCGAACGAAATTTCGCGGATGGAAGGCCAAAACGATCGATACGACGTACCCCGTGGAAGAAGGACCACCTGGATTGTTGCGTACGTTAGACCGTGTTAACAGCGAGGCGGATAAGGCAGCGAGAGAGGGTTACCAGTTCATTATCCTTTCCGATCGACAGGGTGGTCCGGAAAGGTGAGCGAATGCGTGTATCGCAACGTACAACGTCTTAAGCCGGCAAATGACTTACAACAAAACAATATAATGTAACGCGAGCATTCGATGTCTGGATGGACTAGCGAGCGACGAACCGAGCCGCTCTTGCGCTTGGTTCGCGCTCGACCGTGCTCCACTGGTCTGTCGGTTTTTTGACGAACCTCTTTGATCGTCTACTTTTCACTGAATTGAGTAGGAAGCATTGAAAGAGAATTCAGCCAAGAGTTCGAAGCGAGCATTCGTGATTCCAAAAAGGACCTTGTAATGTAACGTTGGTGTTGAACCGTAAAATTCGTGCCGAGCAATTACATTACAGCGTTCTGTTGCAAGTCAGTCGCCGGCTTTACGATCTATAGTACAGCGGCGCAACAACTGATCGTTCTTATTTTGCGCTCTTCGTTAGAGTACCTGTGAGCAGTTTGCTAACGTTGGGCGCTGTGCATCACCATCTGATCGAAGAACGGCAGCGTATGAAGGTTGGTCTTATCGTCGAAACCGCCGAAGCCAGGGAAGTACATCACATTTGTTTGCTGCTCGGTTACGGAGCAGATGCCATTTGTCCATATTTGGTATTTGAGATGGCAAGAAATCTTCGAGCAGACGGTGTGCTAGATTCCTCCTTAACAGATAACTCTTTGTGTGCGGTAAGTTAGAAATGTTGCGATTCGTTGTCATTGAATAATGGAGCGACTGTCGGGGTTTGACCAACACTTTTTGCAAATGTTACAGAATTATGCGGAAGCAATGGAGAGAGGTATAGGGAAGGTAATGGCAAAAATGGGAATTTCCACGTTGCAATCGTACAAGGGAGCTCAAATATTCGAAGCTGTGGGTTTGTCTGATGAGGTCGTTGAGAAATGTTTCAAGGTATATTAATAGTTTTACTTAGTTTTAGAACCGTTATTCAATGAAATTCGATGAAAGTACGCGTGATTAGAAACTGGATCCAATTCATGAAAGGTGTTCCGTGATTAACAATTTTCTTATGATGTACTATCATCGTCGCGCAGTTGGGTGCGTTTAGTTGCGACTTCAGCGGAACGATACTTGCCAATCTTGCCATTTTTAAATTTCGCAGGGTACTCAGTCTCGTATAGGTGGAGTCACCTTCGACATTTTGGCTAAAGAAGCTTTCGAAAGGCATCAGATAACGTATTGGAACAAACCTATGGATATGCTCGTCATTCGCAATCCAGGTACTTATCACTGGCGTTCCGGGGGAGAGAAACATATAAACGATCCCGACAGCATCGCAAATCTGCAGGTAATTTAGCGCGTCACATCTTCGTCGAAGAGATATCCTTCTTCCGTTGATAGACAGCAAGAATCTAAAAATAAGTCTCGTCTCGTAGGACTATGTCAATTCAAAGAACATGAGCGCTTACGACAAGTACCGAAAAACAACGATGGAAATGGTAAGGGCTTGCACGTTACGAGGTCAACTGGAATTCGTAGACAAGACCGAGAATTCTATACCCATCGAAGAAGTTGAACCAGCATCTGAGATTGTAAAGCGATTCGCAACTGGAGCCATGAGTTTTGGAAGTATCTCGATAGAAGCGCACACGACACTAGCGATCGCGATGAATCGTATCGGAGGTAAATCGAACACCGGCGAAGGTGGTGAAAATTCTTACAGGTGAGTACACACCGATAGGTATACATCAACTCGGAAAAACTGCAGAGTAAAGATGGCGAAATATTCTCTCTGGTTTAGATACATCGACCAGGATCCAGAATTTAATAAACGATCAGCCATTAAGCAAGTTGCCAGTGGTCGTTTCGGCGTAACCTCGAGTTACTTAGCAAACGCTGACGACCTTCAAATTAAAATGGCACAAGGAGCCAAGCCAGGAGAAGGTGGCGAGTTACCTGGTTACAAGGTAAGAGTAGAATCTGGAATTGGAACTACTTTACTATTCGAATACTAGTCGAATACAAGTAATTCAACGAGCAGACTCAACTCTAGTAGAAACAAGTTACAACGAGTAGCAAGTATAAGTTTAATTTGCATAATTTACGCAGGTCACAGCTGAAATTGCTGCAACCAGATGCTCGGTAGCTGGCGTGGGACTAATTTCGCCACCTCCTCATCACGACATCTACTCGATCGAGGACCTCGCAGAATTGATTTACGATTTGAAATGCGCTAATCCTTTGGCTCGTATTTCTGTGAAATTGGTATCCGAAGTAGGAGTAGGCGTAGTCGCGTCAGGTGTGGCAAAGGTAATATCTTGGAATATCTTTCTTGATTCTTCTCTAATTTTTATTTACCATCATTCGAATTATTACCTCTGAAAGTGTTGAAACTCTTCTCGTTACGATGAAACAGGGAAAAGCAGAACACATCGTAATATCCGGTCACGATGGCGGAACTGGAGCCAGTAGTTGGACAGGAATTAAATCCGCGGGTTTACCCTGGGAACTGGGAATCGCGGAGACTCATCAAGTTTTGACGTTGAATAATCTTCGGTCACGGGTAGTCGTTCAAGCTGACGGACAGTTGCGCACGGGATTCGATATCGTAGTAGCAGCCCTCTTAGGCGCCGATGAATTTGGTTTCAGTACAGCGCCATTGATTTCTATGGGTTGTACCATGATGAGAAAGTGTCATTTAAACACCTGCCCCGTGGGTATCGCTACCCAAGATCCCGCGCTCCGAAAGAAATTCGAAGGGAAGCCGGAACACGTTATCAACTTTTTCTTTGCGTTAGCAGAAGAGGTATACATACTAAAGAAAGAATTAAAAACAAAGAATTTTTCGTCGACAATTTTAATACCGAAATGATTGCTTTATCCAAAATAGGTACGTTCGTACATGGCCAGTCTGGGTATTCGTAAGTTTCAAGATCTAATTGGCCGCGCGGATCTCTTGAGAGTTCGGAAGGACATCTCGATCGAAAAAGCTAAAATGCTAAATCTCGATAATATTTTGCGCAGCGCGCTCGAACTTCGGCCAGGAGTCAATATTAAAGGCGGATCGATAAAGCAAGACTTTCAATTGGAAAACAGACTGGACAATCGCATGATCGAGCAGGCCAAACCAGTGCTCGATAGGAAGCAGGATCGCGTCGAGATGGAATTCAATGTCAATAACGAGGACAGAGCGTTGGGATCGACTTTGTGCTTTCATATTTCAAAGTAAACAGTTTTTCTATTCTACTACATGTCCTCTAATTGATCTTGAATACATCAGGCGTTCTGAATTAATGTTTCGATCGTAGATTGTTCGGCGAAGAGGGACTGCCGGATGGTAGTATAAATATGAAGATGAAGGGTTCAGCGGGTCAGAGTTTTTGTGCTTTCATGACCAAAGGTGTGCACGTTACTCTCGAAGGTGATGCCAACGATTACGTAGGGAAAGTAAGTATCTTCCTTCCTCCTTTAACCCTTTGCACTCGAGCGGCGCCCGGGAAGTATTGCGCGTCCACTCTACGGGAGCCGTAGCGCCCAGTCCTTCTTTAACTCGTTATGTTTGTTTTCGATGCGCGATAAGATGTTTGACAAATTTGTACACCCTTTCTAAGCAAGAAAAAAAGAAAAGAAAGGAAAGACAACTAAACCATTTAGGTTATCTATGTAGAAACGCTTGTGGAAGAATTTATAGAACCGTATCGCCAGCATCGCGATCAAGCGGCGAGACCAAACAGCGATGAGTCTCGACTAAATGAAAAGCTTCATATTGTTTTGAAAGGGGTAAAGAGGGACTGTAAGGTTTGCTATGGCCGTAATAAACCTGGCGTCAGGCGAGAAACCTCATATTATTATGATATATGCCCTAACAAACTCAGAATCCATCTCGGGGATTGTTTTGTAAAATGTCGTTTTATAATTTTGTTTTATATGTTGTATGTTTTATAAATTTTATTATTTATATACGTTTGCTTGAACTTGAGATCATTATAAAGTAACAGTAAAACGCTTCCCTAATATAGCCGAAATCATTTGGAGTTGCTAGTTCGCCTCAGAGAAAAAGGCCTCAAATGCAAAGGGTTAATACGAGTTGGGTGGCACAGCATTTGATGAATTCGTTGTCAATTTTTTAGGGATTATGCGGTGGAGAAATCGTTATATACCCACCGAAAGATTCGACCTTTGATTCCGAAAAGAATGTAATCGTAGGCAATGCTTGCCTTTACGGCGCAACTTCTGGAAAAGCGTACTTCCGAGGAATCGCTGCCGAAAGGTGCGGTGTTCGTAACAGTGGAGCGGTATTTGTGGTCGAGGGTGTAGGAGATCATGGTTGCGAATATATGACGGGCGGCTGTGCGCTAATTTTGGGGCTTACCGGTCGTAATTTCGCTGCTGGAATGTCCGGTGGAATAGCTTATGTCTACGATGACGGGTCGTTCAAGAGGTACGTATCCATAGTACGCGGTACAGATATAGCGACTCTCGTAAAATAATATCGATAAACCTCGAAAGCGATACTTATCGTTGCTTCGAGACTCTAATTAGGATGTTCCAAACGATGGGCAGGTTTCCTGGCTTCAGGGCCGTCTTTACTAAATTCGGGACACGTCCACTTGAAATCTTTTTGTCACGAAATTATAATTTTTCAGGTTTTTCAAAGCAAATGTATTCTTAAAACGTTATATGTTTTTGTAGGGATTTCCTAGTAGAGTGGCTGAGTAGGCATGGATTCAAGACTATTTTTCTGGGAAACGGTCATTTTTTTGCGCTTGTTTGGTTGAATAGCATTTTTACAAAAGGCGGCTGTTATCTACCTGTTACCTGGAAATATCCAGAGGTCCTCTTACGTATTAATTTTGTATCGAATAAGTATGTTAGCGTCAGCGTCTTCTCTCTTTGTTTCGCGGCGCGGCGTCACGGTCAACGTTCTGTAACGTTTATATTCTTAGGTAAATCTTTCCAAAATAATTTTGTACATCACACTAAAATACTACTAAAGACGTGTGTAAAATTTCAAATTAAAATCTTGTATAATTTTTTCAATAAAAAAAATGATAATGAAAACCGCATTTTGGCGCGGAAGAAGAAATTCTTCCTTCAATATGTTCCCTTGTTAGTTTTACATGTGATGGTGGCTGGGTCACAAAGGTCTTGAAGCCCGAATAGAATTTTCTCAACTGTCTTGAATCTCCGACGGTTTTACGAGAGCTACTATATCTGTATCACGCACTTACTATACCACCAAGGCTTTTCTTACTTAACTTACTTAACTTTCAGAAGCCTCCAGTATATAAAAAAATAATTCTGTTTTATTTAATAAGTAATATTTAATATAAGTTAATAGAAAGAACATCAACAAGGTCGAGCAGGCCCTATTTTTTATTCCTTCTTAATATACCGTTTGTTTGCAGCAAGTGCAATCCTGAAATGGTAGAACTGCTTCCTCTAAATAAACCGGACGATATAGCTTACGTGAAATGTCTGTTGGAAGAATTTGTCGAGAAGACTGGTTCTCTAATTGCATTGGATCTACTGTCGCTTTGGCCTGAATCAACGACGAGATTTGTGAAGGTATCCCTAAACCCGTAAAGTAATTCATCCGACATAGTAGGCGAAGCAATCGTTGTTTCACGTTTTATTTTCTTCAAGGTATTCCCATACGAATATCAACGAGCATTGAAACAAGTCGAGGAAGCCAAGCAAGCACAACCAGTCGTAAACGGAAACTCCCAGACGTTGTCAAATCAAGTCAAGGACATCGAAGATGCTATTGCGGACGCTGATATGGAACAACGGAAATTGGACAAGATAAGGTATTCTTTAACTGTAACTGTAGGACGTGAGGGTGAAGGAAAAACGAGGATTCGATTTGGTGCCTATTTATTAGACTCTCTTGGTCGAACTTGACCACTCGTCAAATCGACAGGACGACTCGTTAAAAACTAATCGTCCTTGGAATTTCCTTACACCACCACCTCTTCCTTACGCCCTTAGCGCGTCTCCCAGGGAAGGGGGTGTGCTGAGGTGGGGGAGTACCACCGTTGGAAATTTGGCAATGCAGCGGGATTTTCTCCGAGCCTCAGGCCTCGCATCGTCGCCCGCCAAGGGTTGCTTGACTTTGCCTTCGGAAGACCCATGGTTTACGACATTTGTAATATGCTATTGAGGCCGTAGCTAATTGTCGCGAGGAAACGAACATCTGTTAATAACGGAAAAAGACGGCTTTCTCAAAAATAGCTTCGTCGTTTGCTTGTCGTAAACCATTCTAGCTGTTTGCACGTGAACCGTTATTTTCGGTGCGCGCTAGCCGCAACATAACCATTTCTTGTTCGATTCACCGAGACGACAATTAAAATCTAACCACCTATTCTCGCAATATTGTTTTAGGGGATTTATGAAATACAAGAGGCAAACAAGTGTTTATCGACCGACCGAAAACCGTGTTAACGACTGGGATGAAATATATAATTTTAAAGGAGTCCGCAAAGGACTGCGCGTACAAGCAGCGAGGTGTATGGAATGCGGAGTGCCGTTCTGTCAGAGTAGTCATGGCTGCCCGCTAGGAAACATTATTCCTAAGTGGAACGATCTCGTCTTTCAATCGAATTGGAAGGAGGCGCTGAATCAGTTGCTACAAACCAATAATTTCCCAGGTATGCGCTATTATTTTGTATTTTTAAACGATGAGGTTTTACTAATATTTACCACCGTAACGACTACAAAATAATCACGAGGTAATTACATAGTAATTACTCGACAACTACTCTTTAATTGCCACGCAATCATTGTCTTAGATCGCCGAGTCATTTAATACCGTGTAATTATCGTGCGATCATGTTCTAATCGCAATGATCGTAAACGTAATCTGATTATATTTTATAAATAGTATTCGACTTAACGATCGGAATGCATTTAGAATTCACAGGGAGAGTTTGTCCGGCTCCATGCGAAGGCGCTTGCGTTTTGGGGATTTCGGAACCAGCAGTTACCATAAAGAACATCGAATGCGCGATCATCGATCATGCCTTCGAACAAGGTTGGATAGTGCCGCATCCACCTGCGTTGAGAACCGGTCGACGAGTCGCTGTCGTCGGTTCCGGACCTGCAGGATTGGCGGCTGCCCATCAACTAAACAAGGCTGGACATCTGGTGACTGTTTACGAGAGGAACGACCGAATAGGAGGCCTTCTTCAGTATGGAATACCAACAATGAAGCTGTCGAAGCAAGTTGTACAGCGAAGAGTTTCCCTTCTTGCCGCAGAAGGAATCACTTTCAAAACTGGCGTTAACGTTGGAAAGGATATATCTGCTAAGGTTAACGATTACTCCGTGTATCATTTAATTTCACGCATTTCACGGGTAGTTTTTTCTTTCTTCTTTTTTTCCTCAAATTAATTTATCTTCGTCCACGTATCACAGGAATTACGTGAACAATACGACGCAATGTTGCTTTGTACTGGCGCAACCTGGCCAAGGGACTTACCGATACCAGGTCGACAACTCGAAGGTATTCATTTCGCTGTAAGCTTTTTGGAGCACTGGCAAAAGAAGCAAATGGGAAACGATACCCCTCTGGATATGCGACTGATGGCCAAAGACAAGGATGTCATTATAATAGGCGGCGGTGATACCGGTTGCGACTGCATAGCCACGTCTTTGCGACAGGTATAATTTTCCGGTAACTCGATAGTTTTACAAAGATCCTCGAAGAACATCGTATTTTCTATTACAGCTTCTATACAGCTTCTGCGATTGATCTTTATTTCTGTCTTTCATTCGCTCTTTTGTTTTTCTCTCGTAGGGCGCCAAAACCATCACAACTTTCGAAATTTTACCAGAACCACCGAACAAGAGGGGAAAGGATAATCCCTGGCCTCAATTTCCACGAGTGTTCAAGGTGGACTATGGTCACGAAGAAGTTTCTCTCAAGTTCGGACGGGATCCGCGTCAATTCAGTACGTTGAGCAAAGTAAGTAAGAGTCGGCAAGTATGTACAACATCTTTGCTCGAAATGGTTTTTGGACGCCATTTTAAGGCGGCGACTGACTTGCAACAGAACATTGTAATGTAACGCGAGCATTCGCTTAGTCTGGACGGACTAGCGAGCGACGAGCCGAGCCGCTCTTGCGCTAGACCGTACTCCACTGGTCTGTCGGTTTTTTTGACGATCCTCTTTGATCGTCTACTTTTCACTGAACTGAGTAGGAATCATTGAGAGAGAATTCAGCTGTAATGTAACGCTGGTGCCGAACCGTAAAATTCGTGCCGAGCAGTTACATTACAGCATTTTGTTGCAAGTCAATCGCCGGCTTTACACTTTACGTATTCTTTATAGGAATTCCTCGATGATGGAAACGGACACGTGAGTGGTATTAAGACGGTGACAGTTTCGTGGACAATGGAAAATGGTCGTTGGAAAATGGAGGAGGTTGCTGGATCAGAAAAGGTGAACAAATGAAAGAAAATATAAATGATTTAACAACAAAAATAAGGAAGATGAAGGTCTTCTTGTTAAATGAGATAATTAAAATTGAATCACTTTTCTATTGCCTTTCCTTCTTTTTTTTTTGTAGGTGTATAAATGTGACTTAGTTTTACTCGCAATGGGCTTCTTGGGTCCTGAGAAATACGTAGCGACAGAACTAGATACGGCACTGGATGAGAGGGGTAACTTCAAAACAGCAATTGGCAAATTTGAAACAAGTTTGTCTGGCACGTACGCGGCTGGTGGTAAGCTCTCGCTATGTTCTATGTTACTCTAGTATTTAATTGCTACAATTTTGATCGTAAACGATGATTGCAAAAATGAACAACGGTACAATATTCTTAATTCCATACAGATTGTCGGCGTGGACAGTCTTTAGTCGTTTGGGCGATCACGGAGGGTAGGCAAGCTGCGAGAGAAATAGACGTGGCTTTAATGGGAACGACTGGTCTTCCCGTATCCGGTGGTGTTATAACCACCGTCGTCGCTTGAATTGACCAACGTTGAGAACGAAGAGGACGGATCAAACGATTTTCGTTTTCCCTCTGTTTCATTCCCTTATACCCTCCAGTGATGATCCTGCGATTGCGATGCGGGCGGGTACCGTTGAACGAACAAGGGAGAAGCGGTTCACGCGGGAACAAGTCAACCAGTATTATCGCACGTTAACAGATGTGCGAAGGCGAATCGAAAAGAAAAGTATCGTTCGTCACCGTGATGATAATTACAGCGCGCACGAGATTAACTAGCATTTTCGGTGCGAGATGTAATCGTTCTTGCGTTGTTCATTCGATTTTGAAAAAATTGGCGACGGTATTCGACTTCATGTTCGCCGCGTAACCATGGATAACTAACTTTGTAAGCTCTCGAGGAAATACTCGTAGATGTATCGCGGAATCTACCTCGTATCCTCCTTTGCGTTCCTCGTTTCTTTCTGGAGGTAATAGAAATTATTACGCAATTGATAACAGCCTTTTCATCGAGCAATGCGATTGCACGGGGAATCATTCGTTGGAAGATTTTATGGCTCGAAAATGTGTGAATCGCAAATGCTCCAAATGGTATTTCAAGGTTGACGCTATTGTAGAAGGGGCACGTACGTTTGCCTAGCGTTAGCATTCGGTCTTGTGTTAATCTCGTGATTTTTTTTGTAACTTTTTTTAGTATTAGTACGTCGTTAATGTATCGCAATGCGAACATTACGTACGCGCGCACGTACGACTTCAAACATTTTTTCGTAGTGTATTTATTTATCAAATACGCAATGATGCGCGTTACACTGATCTTTCTCAACTGTATACAAATTTTTTCGTATTTTTTCTCGAACCTTTTGCGAACTTGCGAAACTAAGGTAATCTCGAAGTTCCAGTTCTTTAATTTTGCAAGTCCGCAGAAGATTCTCGGTAGGAGCGAAGAATCCGAGTAGGGATAGAAGTTCCCCATTTTCATCTGAGAAAAAGCCTAAGGATTTTTAAAAGTAAAAAAAAAATTGAGGTTTTATTCTGTTTGTTGCGCATATCATTGTAAATTCTACGCAATGAAAAGAAATACTTTGAGACAATAAATGAATACCGTATACTGAACGTTGAAATATCGTGCAAATGAAATTTGTCCAAAAGTAGATATAAAATGACAAACAAGAAAATTACTACTATGGATGACCGATTTTTAACCCTGTATCGTCGCATACCCTCCGGCGTTCCGGATTCGAAATGGCACGAATTCGCATGGGAACAGTGCATCGAACACCTGATCGGTTCTATTCGCGAAGAAATTATCGATGTTGCAGCGACTGTAATCGAGGAAAATTATTTGGAGAAGAAAGCGTTTGAATTTACCAATCACTCTCTTCGCGTAGCGTTGATACGCATGTTCAACGTAAGTATTTATATATTTATTATTATGTTTAACCCGATTCTCAGTCATCGATCTTTCTGGACGCTTTTTCTACTTCGTAATATTCTCATTCGCTTTATAGTGGATGTCTCTAAATCTAGAGCCTCGTTTGAAACACGACATCTTAAGAAAACCGAAGCATCTAATGGTCGACGATGTCGAACCGACACCGTCCTCCATGGATTCTTGGACATTTGAGAAAACATCGCAAACTCTCCTTCAGAAATTACCCTGCTCCGAAAAATTCCTATTTCCATCGTCGAAAACTGGCTTAAATGTGTCGTTAAAAAGTCACAACCAAACAAAGCAAAAAAATGTCAAGGTTGGAAAATTTGTATAAGAGACAAATGGCGGGGCTTGTTTCAATTTCGGTATTAGTAGAAATACGTAGGTATTAGAAGATTTCTGCAGGTCTTGGCAGTAGTGGCGCCATCGGTGAGAAAACGTCGAAGTTTGCAGTGGAAGAAGTTCCTCTTTTTACTGCTAGATGACGCTACTAAGTATAATCCTGGTTTGCCATCTAATGGTGAGAAGGCCGAACTAATTTTCAGAATTTGGTCAGCGCCTCTATCGGAAAAACGGCCAAGTTTGTCGTAAAATAGTTCCTCTTTTTACTGATAGATGGCAGCACATTAGCAACAATTTACTAACATAACAAAATTCACATATTCAAGCTTATTACGTTAAATAATGAACTTGTAATTAGATTACAAGCAATTAAACACAAAAATTGAATTAGTGATACACCTATTGACCTCCATTCTCTTTGGAACGAAGTTTTATAAAGCTTACAAAAGTGTAGTACTCTTTGCTAAGAAAACATCTGAAGGACGATGTTCTCATCTATACTTTAACAGTTGCAAATTCAATTTATTGTAAACTATGCATAGCACCGAGTAAAACTATGTAAATCTTTACAAAAATAATTAGAATATATTATCATCTGATGTCGGTATCATATTTAATCCTACCATCTATCAGTAAAAAAGAGAAACGATTTTACGACAAACTTGGGCGTTTTCCCACTAGAGGCGCTGACAATAACAAAATGAATATTGAATATGTTTATAATAATGTATTAATATGATTATTATCTTCGCCATATGTTAATAAAAAAATAAGGACAAATGTAATATTCACCTACCATAAAAATTATGTCACATTCTTCAGATACAAGGGGTAAGTTTCGAGCCAGAACAGGGCCGGCGTGACCTTTTGCGGGGCCGGGTTCAACAATTTTGCGGGGTCTGAATTCACATTCAAATCCTAAACTTAAATTTTACAACAAGGAATTATTTATTTACAAATGCTATATATTTTTTATAAGACGAATATTAAATAATAATACTTTGATGATTTTTGTCACTCCTTTGAATTTAATCATCGCTACTAAAAAAATGTCTTGCATCTCAGCAAAAATTGATTCCATTTGTTAATGGTATCATCAGTCTGTAAAAAGTTAATCAAAATCGGTGCCCTTTAATTCAGTAACCTGGCTTGCGCCGACCCTGAGCCAGAATTAAACATAAGTTATGCTGGTTAAAAGACTGGTTTAAAAACGCAATTGTGTACGTAACGGTGGAATGAATTGTAGGCGTATTTATTAAAAGTTCCGTAATTATTTATTCCTTGTCTCTCTTATTTGTCAGTAAGATCACAAATTAAAATTAACATCACATGTAGGCGGTAAAGGGCTCAAAAAAAAAAGAAATTACAAACGTCTCGCAAGAATCGTTAAAAAATCTCGACGGAGGTAGCACGCGTACCCCTAACATTATTAAATCGTAGTTAACGCAATTATTCGTTTGGAGACAATTCAAGACCAGAAAATTAACGGAGTCGAAACGAGCCGAGGGACGAGTGCAAACTCGCCAACGGGATCGCTCTTCTCCAACAAGAGAAAAAGACAAATCGTGAAAATTGATCAAAGTATACTAAAAATTTACACCTAGTCGCAACTTGATTTCGTAACGCAAACGTTTGTTTCTTGTTCAACTTTCCGCCATGTTCAATCTACGCAAGCAATACCTAATGGTAATATCGTATATAAAAAAAAATTAAATAATTCTACGCGTTATGCATCTAATGTCTTTTTGTTATTTCTAACTTTTTTAACGAAGTACAAAATATACGTAACAGCATTTTATATATTCTGTTTTCTACATAATCGATATAATAACGACACGAACATCACACATACGCCATATTTGTTTCTTGTTCCTTTACTTATACGTTTGTTTGCAAAGTGGTCAGGAAGATCATTTCGTTCAACGACTTCGACCTAAGCGATCGTTGTACCGCATACAAGTTCCCGAAGTGTCCCTGCTATTTTAAAGAAGATATACGCATGCGCAGCTATTCATGAAAAACTTATCCTGAAAAATTTAGTATCTATCGCTGATCAGTCTTATAAATTCATACATATAAATTTCAGCGCGCGCACGCACGCGCGTTATGTGTATACGTTTACACGTCCTCCTGGAAGAACTGACGCAAATTTTCTTCGGACGAAATGATTTCAATGTTTGAACAAAATATAGTCTATCAAAGTCACCAACTACGATAATTAGCGAACAGCAAACGTAATCGTTTTGTCCTGGAAAATTGTCGCAAATGCAGGAGAAAGTTACGTACACGATTACTTAATATGTTGCACGGATTCAATTTACGTTATTCGTTAATCACGTTTGTTTTCATTAATATCACAACATCATTACCGATCGATACCTAAAGTAATCGTGACTTTTCGTCTGAAAAATCATGTATCGAGGAGTAGTCGAAACGAGAAAATTTCACGGAGCCGAATGTTAACGAACGATGGATAGATAGCCTCGAATAAAAAAGAAAAAAAGAACGACAACTCAGCACTGGCCAGAATTATACGAACGAATTCTACGAATTTGCATTTTAAACAGATGTTGAGATTAGGTATCCGATGGTGATTTTCAAACTAAAAATTATATCGTATCTAGATAGATACCTAAACTATTATGACTAATCGACAATGTCGTTAGGCGTTATCACGGAGAATTCGTGTACGAGTCGTATAACGAGTCGCTTCTTCGTCGAACGAAGATACACGCTTTTCTCCTATAACGAGAGAATGTATCTTTACGCGACCCTGGAAAATTGTTATCGATTTATTGTACTCGTTTTTTTACACATTCGACAACGACGACGACATCTTGTTAAATTTACGATTAAAGAAATATGCAAAGTCCAGGAATCGCGTACAGAAACTTTCGCTCTTAACAATAATGAAATTTGTGTTTTGTCTTACTATCACAATAGTCGAACGTATAGGCTTCGTTTCTTCGAACCGATCGCAATATTAGCGGCTATGAACACAGCCAAATCGCACGATCATCTTCGAGCCATTGCAGATTGGAAAAAACAAATCTGTTATCGAGTCTGCATTTTCATCGTGGGATGTACTTTCCACCTTTTTCGTATCATGGTCTAGAAATATAGTTCTTCCATACTTCTCTCTCCTTCTCCGATTCTCCTCCTTGTGTCCTTTCCATAATTCTTTGTAGCGAATAATTGCAAAATATGTCCACATCGAAAAACTCGATCTGTCATTTCGCGCGGAAAGTGAAGGCTCCGTAGATCACCTTGGCCCTATAAAATTATCGGTGGAGCTTGGAATAATCGCGTCTACCAAGAAAATCGAATGACAGAGAAACAAGTGAATCGTTCACTGTGCATGCTGGTAGGATCTGTACAATTTCTTTTTTTCCAAAGTAAAATCCCTACTGATCATGATGGTGCCCCCTCGCGTAAGGTTTCTGAAAAGAAAAAGAAGCAAACGATTAGAGACTCGTCTATAATATAGTTGTTCTCGTTTAGTTGTAGTTGTTTACCGTTCATTTCGGAGACTTACTTTAAAAATTGTGGTAACAAAATGTGCCAAGACGTGTGATCTTGTTTCAACGTCAAGTACAATTCGAAGGTGGACACCGTGTTAGGGTCGCATTGTATTTTCGACAATTTGCGACACACGCTGTCAGTTTCGAAACTGATGAACAAGGTGCAACCTCTGTAACAACCAAAACACGTACGAATTATATTTTGAATGTCGGATAATTAGAGTAAAACGTGTTTAACTATTTTGTAAAATTAAAACGAACTTACCTAAGACCGCAAGGTTCATTTTCAGCCATGGCAAGAACATTTTTGGCTATTCTAGGCAAAAGATCAGCAGGTAGTAAAACTTCCCCGCATGCCAATTGAGCGTGCTTAGCCCTTCTCAATTCGACTTCGAGACGCTTTGCCAAGGCCTGGCAAGCTCCGTCCACCAATTCATCTGTCACTGTTCCAGCTATAATTAAGCGATAATTAGTCGATTAGACGATTTTTTTATTTGATAAAAAAAGATCTAATAATAAATAAAATTAAAGGTCTAAATTATTACTCGAAAATCAGGAGATAAAATATCCAAATTATTTTGTAACTAGCTCCGATAAATTAAAAAAAAAAAAACCCTATGTATTAGTTTGTTATATTCGCTCGTAATAATTTACAATTACTATATCTTCAGTTCTTAGGGCAACATATACAATGTATATGTACATGTAATAGCTACACCGACACCACGACGATAGCGACGCCGACTATACCAGCAGCAATTGAACTGCTATTTGAGAACTAAGGCTTCTTCGCCACTATTTGAAAACCTACCGATATTCCAGCACCGGGATAATTTTTTTTTTGGTCTATTTTCTCAAGAAAATCATTTCACAAATATAAAAACGAATCGCCGCTCGAATTTCGAAGGCATCGAAATAAAGAAGAGCGAGAAAATAAACGAAACGGAACGTTATAAAAAACGAAAAAGGAATGCAAAGAACGTTTTCGAATAAACAGCGTAAAAATTACACGAGATTCGTGTCTTCTCGCTAAAAAATCAGCTGACTCGTAAAATCAGCTGAAACCGACGACTCTGCCGCTGGTTCGCGATATTCGACGATCGATTCTCCCTTGAACTGTGTAAGTACGCGGCGTAGAGAGAAAAAAAAAAGTGCCGGTAACGCCGTACGCGAAAAATTGAACAAAGACTAGCGACGAAATGAAAAAAAACCTTGCCTCTGGTATTGCTGAAATTCACGTTTACAGGACACGGCAAAACCTCCATGTTCCACGGATATAATAGAATAATTGTTCTTTCGTCGTCACGAGCGCCGTTTAATGCTTTTTTATTAACGATAATATCGATTCGTCGATAGAGCTTGTAAATTCAACAATATCACTTCTTTAGAATGCCAAAATTTAAATGGTTTTTCTTCCTAAACTTTCACTCGAACTAACGCTACGGCATTAACACTCCCCCGCGTACGATATCCGAACAACTGATTCGCCGGCATCGATGACGCGACTTTTATACCGACCATCCCCACTCCTCCGATTTTTCCCCTCCATCGCCCTCCGCAAGCCGCCTAGCAACACAGGGCTACGTGATGTTTCTCACTGCGTCCACTTCGGGTGTTTCCGTTCCTTGTCGTTCGGTTATCTTCGGTTCTTAATACCGTTTTCCTTCGCCATCGGGTCTACCGAACGATCAACGAAACGACCAAGACCAGCTTCTATCTCGACTTAATCGTGGCCTACCGGTCTTCGGAAACTTTATTTGCCCTTTCTAGAACGTTTTCCTTCGTCGTGCTTTTCCACCGTTATTTTCATTCTTTCCACGTGCAATTGTAATTAGCTCATCCGATGATCGCGAACCGTTTATTTCCATTATAATTCGAAGGTTTCGAATTCAACGATATACATGTGTACATACATACTATTTCTTACATCATAATCATCTTTCCTCGCGTTAGGCCAATTTAATCGACTCTCAGCCGTGATACCTAACGTTTCGTGGATTCGTTCTCTTTCATTTTTGCTTGGAGAAAATCGATTATTGCTTCGTAGAATAACCACTGCAACTTTGGTGGAAATACTTATTCGACAACGTATAGTTTCTTTGTCTCTTACCCTTACTCTTACTCTCACTCTTCCCCTGCCGTCCCTTCTCGCCCCCTCTTCCTCACAAAGCCGCTCGCAGTGCTCACACCCTCCTGCCTTCTCCACCGCATCATTATTTGTTACTCTCTTTGCCCAATGACTTGTTCTCTACTCTTTTTGCCTTATTTCATACTCCATTCGGTTTCTCGGCTGATGCTGGACTTGAAAATCACCGCCGTTGTCCCCCGTCTATAGATTTCAGTAGGTCTCTTTTACAGAAAAAAAAAGAAGAAAATAAACGCGTTATCTACAAATTAAGATTTTCGTACGTCGTCGATCACAGTTTCTCGTTCGAGTAAAGTGGAAATAATGGTTCGAAAACGCTAAGCAACGCCGATTAAAAAATAAACGAAGCTTACTAGTATACGAGAAAACCTAACCGAGCGAAAAAGTTCTAGATTTTTCGAAACACACGTCGTTATACTTTCCGAAGCTGAAATTGGTAAGCGTCGTTTTACGAACGGTAAATATACGTACAGGAGTGTTTATAATATTTCACGTTCGAGGGATAAACAATTTGGTCCTTCGTTATCGGGAACATGTACGTAATCGTGTTCGATTCAGAAAAACAACCGTTTCGGTGTACGCGAGCGTGTAACGTGCGTTTTCTAATCTCCGAATGTACGTACAATCTCGAAAATAAAACACGTTCATTGGTATTCGCGATGAATGAAATTCAATCGAGAGTCGGGAGGCATTTTAATTAGTGGAGTAACGATTCGATATCGAAATACGCGATGTACTTAAAAAAAAAAAAAAAAAAACGAACTAGATTAAACGGAACGGTTCTCGCGTGTATGAAAAGAGACGGACTGCAGGGAAACGAAGGGTACAACGAAAAAAGGGGGGAAAGCAACGTAATGGGGAAACGAGAAAACAAGATTTATATGACCAAGTGGCAGAATAACAACGAAAGAGGAAAAGAGGGAAGAAGCAAGAATGAAAGGAGAGAGGATCGGGCACGTAATCGCATAAGAGAACAGAGGGACGATAGTACATTGACGAAAACGCTGACTATATTTAGTTACGTTTAGTTTACGTGACACGAGAAGGGTAAAGAGCAGGACAGAGCGAAAGGCGGAATCGTAGGAAAATCAAAGGAAGGCGTCTCTCACGAACACGAGCGATACAGTATTTCTATTCTATTTTAGATCGCGAAATTAGATATGACGTGTCTTTGATCATCCTCGAATTATTATCGATCCATACATAAAAATTGGGCAGATACGGTCTCTCGGTTTATGAGTAATTGGCCCTTGGCTTGTTATCTCTGACGACAATTTATAACTACATTGAAATTACTCCGGCGATAGTTCGTAATGAATACACAACAACACGATGACATAACGATTACAAATATTTCGTAAGCTGATTTCTGACAATTGTCACGTATTCGTTTGTAAAAAAAAATATTAACTATACTCGGAGCACTCTGTTTTTCTTTTCACGTTTATTCTTAACATTTCAAATCGAAAAGTAGATTTTCCAAAACTTGATATTAATTATTATAGATAGATAGAGTTTGCGTACCTATACATATCATTTTGTTGTTGTAGTCGTTTACTATTATTTCGTCGAGTTTGGAAATAATACGTGATTATTCCTATATTATTTTCTTGGTATCTACACTTACTCATTTCAAATGGAAAAGTAGATTTCCAAAAACTTGATATTAATTATTATAGATAGATAGAGTTTGTGTGCCTATACGAAAGTACATATCATTTTTGTTGTTGTAGTCGTTTACTATTATTTCGTCGATTTGGGAAATAATATATGATTATTCGTATATTATTTTCTTGGTATCTACTCGATAAAAATAAAATATACAGAAAATTGATTAATGTTCTATTACGTGTTTCGTTCTCGATATACTACGAGTGATTTAAAATTTGAAACACAATCTACCTAAGACCGATGCGTGACTTACAGAAAAGTGTGTAAAAATAGAACTCGCAACATGTGCGATACGATTGTTATTATCATGATATATATTATGTATATTATGTATACCAATGCGTTGCGTTTTCACGCATGTTTATGAAAAAATGTCTTCTCCCTTCAGGCAGTTTCAATAGATAACTCGTATCCTCGTTGGTAAAATTCCTATCAAAAGAAAGGTTCGACTAACAATAAATGCGATTAGTCGATGTTAAGAAAACGATTGCTCAAATTTTACAGGAATTCATTCTTCACAACATTTCGAATTTTCTGTAGCTATGGTATGATGATGCAATAACAACGGAAATTGATTAGGCTTTTCTTACGTCAGATTCGTCGCAAGATTATTGATTTTGCCTATTGCATCATTTTTGTACCTCTATGCCTGTAAACAATCTGTAATGTACAGTCGAATTTCAATTTAATAAAACAATATAATTTGCTCCCCTTACTCCCTACTGTTCCACGAAAGAAAATGGGCGAATTCTTCGTTGAATTTACGATAAATTAACCTCCTGCCTCCTGTCTTTTGTCTAGGCTGTAATCAACAAATGTTCTTAACATGTTCTTATTTTTAATACTGTTACGTAAAGTAGTCGAGAACGTGAAAAACTCAAGTTGCACGTGTATTTTCAGATTTTCATAATTTTTTCACGTATTCGCGTACCTTACACGGAACACCGTCAATTTTTATAACGACTAGCTCTTATTGGAAATAGTTAGAAAATTCGAAAGTAATGCACGATATTTTCGTTCTTCGACAATGAAAATGATCAGATCAAATATATTTATCATACATAAACAGTCGTACGTACTTTAATACCGAAATGTTATTCGACTGATAAATTAACAAATAATCGATTTTTTTCATCCAAGCTTGTTATTCTACACGTCAAATGAATTCTTCTTGAGACAAAATAATCAAATTTGTTTCGGAGCACCGCTGAAATAAACTAAATTCGAACGTTGAAAACGTTATCGATAGCAAAATTTCAAGATTAGAATTAGAATTAGAACATATACTGCTTTCGGTAAAATAATCGTTCGAGGTTATAAGGTATATGGTTATCAGGTTATGGTATAGTGTATAGTGATAGTGAACGTTTGCGTTCTCACCGCCCCCTACTAAACATCGATTCTTGAGTTAACTTCGGATAATGGATAACCGAAAATGATCTCGACAACGTCGAATGACGTGTAGTGGTTTAGTATACAACAATATACAACTATTACGTTGTTAACAAGATGGAATACTTCAAAAGTAGTTTGAAGTTTGTTTTAGGTGTTACACCTGCGGAGAACGAGCCATCAGGCGCCGATACGGTATTTTCAATTTTCTAATCATTTATCGTCACGTTTGCGTTTTCACACTTGTAACACATGGCACTTGTCATTTGTGAGATATTCAATGTAAAATAAATCGACTACAAATTGTACGGTTATAACAAATCCTAATATTTATCGATACGTTGAAATTTTTATCCTTTTTATTCTATTTATCATCCTTTTCTCTAACTCTTTTCATTGGAGCAATCGGCGCAGGTAGAACGATTGGTAGACAGATTACAATCGTCCACATTATTAAATGATAGACGGGATGCTTGTCGAGCACTCAAAGCACTTTCCCGTACGTATCGTGTCGAGGTGGGAGCTCAAGGGATGCATGCGTTGAGACAGATTCTGGAGGTGGATAGAACCGATTCTGAAATTATCGGTTTAGCATTAGATACTCTTTGTAATATAACCGATCCTAAAACATTCGAAGAAGAAGGTAATCTATGTAGTTCTACGTACAATTTTGTTTGAATAAATTCAAGTGCATGTCGTATCATTCTGTTTCTTTTAGCGGAGAAGCTTGACGCTGTAAACAAAGTAGGAGAACAATTCACAGAAATATTTATTAAAAATTCGGATAACGTAGGATTAGTTTTAACGCTGTTGGAAGAATTTGACTTTCATGTCAGATGGCCGGCGCTAAAGTTACTGATGCATTTATTAACCAATAGACCGAAAGACATACAAGAAATAATTTTAGTCAGTCCGATGGGTGTTTCTAAATTAATGGATCTCCTTGGCGATAGCAGAGAAGTCATACGAAATGATGTATGTATGTTGTTACAAGATGGAACAATAAGATTTATATTTGTTAATATCTTGGATAGAAGCTGAAACTTGCTTGATAATGTCGTAGGTCCTGTTGCTTCTAATTCAGTTAACAAAGGGCAATGCAAATATTCAAAAAATTGTTGCATTTGAAAATGCGTTTGATCGCATCTTCGACGTTATCGCACAGGAGGGTAACGCGGAGGGAGGTATCGTAGTGGAAGATTGTCTGCTGCTTATGTTAAACCTTTTAAGGGGTAATATAAGTAATCAAAATTTTTTTAAAGAAGGTAAGACATTTTCGTGTAAATGAAAATACCAAACTTACGACCGACGACAAATTTTCATCGTCTCACCACAGGTAATTACATTCAAAAGCTCACTCCGATGTTCCAAATACCACCGGAAACTGATGATAGCCCTCTAAGCGGATGGAGTCCGCAAAAGGTATCGAATGTTCATTGCATGGTACAAGTAATTCGTGCATTGGTAGCCCCAAGTGGCCCTGCTCAGGTAAGCGCAAGAATATATATTTTGTACAAATTTCTTGTGCTTGTATTTCATCGAGAGTCATTGTTACCAAAAATTTATTCGAAGGCTGTAGCAACTTGTCAACGGATCATGAGAGCCTGTGGCTTACTGCAAGCTCTATGTAATATTTTAATGGCCAGTGGTGTGCCTGCAGATGTACTGACAGAGACAATTAATACAGTAGCTGAAGTTATCAGAGGAAATAGCAATAATCAAGAATTTATAGCAGGAGTAATGGCACCTAGTAACCCACCTCGGTAATGTTACAGTTATATACACATCTTAAATCAGTAGAAAAAAGTTACGCGTTAAGATTCTCTCGAAACGCATCTCATTTTCCAGACCTGCAATCGTAGTTTTACTTATGTCTATGGTAAATGAGAAACAACCATTTGTCTTAAGATGTTCCGTTCTCTACTGTTTTCAATGTTTTTTGTATAAAAACGAGGTGGGACAAAATCAGCTTATTCAGACTTTACTGCCGCAAGGAAACGAGATGCAATCTTTGACAACAGGTTTGTGAAAAGTTATATTACCGTGTCCAATGTATAGATTTTGTTCTTACCGTAATGCATAACAAGAACAAGAAATATTTTACAACTATAATATTGCTAGGACAATTGTTATGCGGAGGTTTATTCACCCCGGATTCTTTATCGAATTGGTTTTCCGCCGTGGCGTTATCTCATGCATTGATCGACGATAGCACACAGAAGGAACAACTGTTGCGCGTACTTCTCGCGACTAATATCGGGAAGCCACCAGTGACCTTGATGCAACAATGCGTCATATTGCTGCAGCAAGGCAATAAAACGCAATGCAAATTAGGTCTTTTAATGCTGCTTTGCAGATGGACCGCTCATTGTCCAGCCGCTGTTAAATCGTTCTTGCTTATCGATTCTTCTGTAGCTTATTTAACTGCTCTGTTATCGTCGCAGGAGAATAACGATGACCTGCAAGAAACTTTGCTACAAAGTATGTGCGCCATACTCATTGGATTGTGTATACACTTCAATGACGACAGTGTTTCTAATTATACAAAGGTATAATTTAATGAGTATAAAAAAATAAGGATCTCTTTACGAGACGCTAAATAGTGAACAATATAAACATGTTCGTATATAGGCTATATTGTACTTCTTTTCCAGGAAAAATTATGTAATTTAATCGAGAATAGAATAGGATTAGAAAGATTTCAAGATGCTATCGGTGGTCTCGTCAGACATGAAGTATATTCTAGAACGTTAAAACATCCACAGCCATCGGCCAAGAATCCTTCCGAGCTGTTACTGGACCATGAATTCTGTAGATTATCGAAAGCGTTAGAGGGTAACTATATCGCTAACATCCATTGCGTTTAATGATATAGAGGATAAGGAATTTGAACTTAATCACATTACGTATTTTTAGGTGTGATTACGAAGTCTGTTTTAGACGGGAGTAGTTCGCACCATAAAAGTCAAAATTCACTACCGACACCACCAGATTCCGTTTTGGTAGCGCAATATAAAGAAGTTATTCGAGAGCAAGATTTACAAATAGAGAAACTTAATCAAATTACGGAATTACTTGTTAAGGAAAAACATGAACTCGAAGTACGGTACAATATAGTACAGTGCAGTACAGTAGATATTAATGAACCAAGTTCACGGATAAAATTTCATTAATCATAGTTAAGTATTTATAGCATTCTGATTGTCGGTTAATTTTACAGATACAGGTTCATGATCTTCGGTCGACGGTTAGTCATTTAAAGGATCAAAATTTAGTACTACGGGCAACACAGAGTAATGGAAGATCGGAAGAAACAGAATATTATAATGCGGTAAACAGTGAAGATTCTGCGAAAGAATTAGAGAAATGTCGAAGTATTATTGCAGAACTCGAAAACCGTTTGGCGGAATGCACGTCAACGGTAAAGGAATATAAACAGAAACTCGAAGAAGAAAACGAGACTGACTTTGAACGTAAATTGCAAAAAAAATCCGAAGAATTGGAAGCACTGAAAAAAGAACAAGAAGATCTCTTGGAACTTCTAACCGATCAAGAGAGCAAACTTACGATGTACAAGGAAAGATTAGCAGCATTGGGTGAAAAGGTAAATTTTTGTTAAAGTATACGTCTGAAATAATGTTGAATAGGAGATATGGTTTATAATTCCTGTATATCTTCCATTAGGTTGAAACAGATGAAAGTTCTGTCGAATTAGACACGGACGATCAACCAGAATCAAGCAATTCGGTAGAACGAATAAATTAACATAACCTTCAAAACTAAGAATTCTTGTAGTATTAATGACAATGAAAAGATTTTAATTTCGTGTATTCCTCCTTTTTTGTTAATCTTAATCTTTCCATGGGCCCTACAGCAACAAATTGAAACTAATATCAATGATCCGTTAACAATCCCAATTCAGTAGAGGTATTAAATAAAGTTGTATATCATATCTGAATATGACGCGAGCGAGCGAGCGTGCGAGAGAGAGAGAATGAATCAAGCTAACAATGATAATCTACTTGAAGGGATATTTTTACGCTGATTCAGTCAACATCGAATTAATATCTCGATATTCCTTTATATTAATACTTGATTTTTGTATTCTGTTAAGTTAGTACGTATCACATCGTTTAACATAATAGTTATAAGAGGTACTTTCATTTTTTTATGCGTAATAAAATAAAAGTACCATACTTGGAATAGTTTCTCATGTACTATTATGTATCTATCATAATACAAAGTCCTATTTACATTTTCTGATTAGTCGTTTACATGGTACTTTCTCGTTGCCTGATGACTGCTTGCACACACTTGGCCATAGTAGGCGAAGCGCGGGATATCGCATCCGTCATGAAAAAATTATCCAACGTCTTTTGTTTAACGTCTAATGCATTGGACGCTAAGGATACGTTAGACTCCTATATAAGAAATCGGTATAAATTGATTTTGTACTACATTATCGCGTCGCCGCTTAATCGTTATTTAAATTTACATGCACATGTACGTACCTTCGATAATTCTAACGACTGAGCGAAATAATTAGCCGGTTCCACATTACCGTATCTAACTAAATGCGGTGCAATTTCTTCAAGTCTCGTCCTTACTTCCGCCAAGTTGTCATAAGGTAAACAAACTCCGCAGATCTATGGAAACATTTAATTAACTACATATTCGCGAATGGTACATGAGTATTTAAAAACATTCACAATTACCTCGGAAAGAGCCCGAATAATTTTCCAATCGGGTCGTGCCAAACCTGGGGGTGTAATCGCAGCACAAGTTTGTTGAGCACGACCTTCGGTATTTACGTACGTTGCCACTTTTTCAGTGTACGCAGCACCAGGAAGTACAACGTCTGCAATCGCGGCTCCTTCGTCGCCGTGGCTACCTGAAACATTAGTCGAAAACATACATAGGCGTTTTACAAATAAAAAGCTAAATGTGTTTTGCATATACCTATGTATACGATAAAAGTATTCGAAAAATCTTCTTTCTTTATATTTGCATCATCGGCTCCCAATAGAAACAGAACTTTTGGTTGCAGCTGCTTCACGTCCTCGACCGTCGAAGAATAACCAATGTCTAAAGCAGCCACTTGTGACGCATTCGTATGCAAAACATTCAGTACTTTCCATCCTTCGGAAGACTAAAATAAAGAGCAAATCTCTTTGTATGATGATGATGTACACGATAAGACGATTTCTTTTTTACCTTCGAGTTTTCTCCCAGGCTCTCTGCCAACAATTGTGTTTCGGACATAATTTTTGCTCCATCCTTTCTGCTCAACTGTTCAACGCCCAAAATGATCAGAGGTTTTTTAGCAGCTTTTAAAGTACTCGCAAATGGATGAGATCCATTCCTTAATTGTGTTATAATATCCGGAGACTCGCCTAAATGCTAGAATATAAATAAAACTCTTTACGCACAGAAAAAATCAATAATAATGATATCAGATTATTAAATGGAAGTAATTACCTCGTGATCATACGTTAAATCTACGTCTGTTCCGATTAGAGCGATAGTCTGTTCACCGTGAATGTACCCTTTCCTTAAACGAGTATTTACCAACGGTGCTTCGTATCTTGGATTTGTACCGATCAATAATACGACATCAGCTTCCTCGACTGCAGCAATTGTGTTATTCAATAAATAATTACTTCTCAAATCGATACCTGCGCCACTTTTTGGAAAGCTTTGTTCTGTCGCGAGACATTCACTGCCAAGTTTGTTTACCAAGTCCTTCAATGCTACAAGGGATTCAGCATCGGCCAGTTTTCCAGCAAGCGCTGCACACTTATTCGCGGCTACACCCTGTACAGCTTTGGCAACTGAAAAAGTGTTTTATTATAATCTATCAAAATATGTTACTTAAAACAACATTACAACATATACCTGTTACAAGAGCATCTTCCCATTCAACAGCTTCCAACTTTCCATTGATTTTTATCATGGGAGTTATGAGCCTTTGACGCTTAAGTCCGTCATAAGAGAAACGCGCTTTATCCGATAGCCACTCTTCGTTTATTTCCTACACATTATTGCTTATTGTTGTTAAGGGTTACGAACACTCCTTAAATGGCAATTACCGATAACTATACTAACTTCGTTCACCCTTGGTAAAATTCTCAAAACTTCACCTGTTCTATGCGATACAACTATATTACTACCAACAGCGTCGAGGATGTCAATGCTATCTGTGCGACGTGTTTCCCATGGACGAGCAACAAAAGCATACGGTTTACTGGTTAATGCTCCCACAGGACACAGGTCGATGATGTTACCCGATAATTCAGAGAGGAACATCTTCTCTACGTAAGTTCCTACCTATCGGAAATAAATTGAAGAAATATAACGTAAGCGATTAAGAGAACTAAGATATACCCGACTAAATATTAAATCGAGTCGAATAAATTGTTAAACGTACTTGCATATCGTTTCCACGACCTGTAGTCCCCAAATCGTCGATACCAGCTACTTCGGACGCAAAACGAATACACCTTGTACAATGAATACAACGTGTCATAACTGTTTTTACCAAAGGTCCGATATCCTTGTCTTCTACTGCTCTTTTACCGCTATAATTAATATCGACAAATCTACTCCGATCGTTGCCAAACGCCATACTTTGATCTTGTAAATCGCACTCGCCACCTTGATCGCAGATCGGACAATCCAAAGGATGATTTACCAATAAGAACTCCATGACACCTTCTCGAGCTTTACGAGTTAAATCAGAGTTGGTCTTCACCCTCCAGCCTTTCATTACGGGCATAGCGCATGCTGCGACGGGCTAAGCATATTCATAGAAGAATACACGTATGTACATATATATTAGCCATATAATTTTATCGTTGTTCGCTCATATCATTTATATCGTATCATGTATAATGGTCATAAGAAAAATAAGAAATATACCTTAACTTGTTTTTCAATCTCCACCAGACACATTCTACAATTTCCTGCGACAGCTAAACGTTCGTGATAACAAAATCTGGGTATCTCCACTCCGACCTTTGCGGCTGCCTAAAAAAAATGACAAATACAAATGCATCTAAATTCTATTTACGGATGTAAAGATAGTTGAAATTTGGTAAAAGTAGTAATGACAGTAATTTTTACCTGCAAAACAGTTGTTCCTGGTGGAACTTGGACAGGTTTGTCATCTATGAATACTTCTACCAATTCCTGTTGTAGTTTGGATGATGTATGCAGTCCCACAGCAAAAGGTCTACCATTTTGTAATCCTGTAGACAGTCTTATCACCGGGAGCCTCAACATTTTGGCTCGTTTACCCTTTTTCGCGTCGATATTACGCTGTTATGTAAGAAAAAGTCATAGCTGAAGCTTCGACCAACAAATCGAACGTAACCTAATTTTATGTCAATCGATAGATCCGCAATCCTATTCTATCAACGTTCGTAGAATAAACAGACTAAAGAATGAAATTATCTTAACTATTTATACAAAGCAACTCTACACACAGTAATTTCTGGCTTAGAATATTTAGTTTGACTTTATTTAATCTAAAATTACCAAAACTTTTCCCCGTCAGCCGGATTCCTTCCAAAACTCAGCAATGCCCAGCAATGCCCAGCAATGCCTAGGACTAATTGTAAGGGCAGGCAGTCGACAAGATCGATCAAAAATAGGTCTGGTTACTGCTTAATTTCAAGCATTGGCATTGGCAAAGCATCGCATGTCCAACAATGGCTAATTTCCGAACAAACCTATACCAGAAATAAATAAATCTCGTATAAATAATTATTTGGCTGCGTAAGATGGATAAATTGCACGTATTAATATAGATTTCGTTCTTTCTCGAACACGAGTACCATTTCACTGTATTTCGTAATGTTCCTTTATACATGTATCGAATAATGAGGTAAGTTACACGACTATAAGTGGTGTAATCAGCAATTCCGTAATCCTAATACTAAAATTTTAGTATTTTAAATTTTAGTATAGTTAAAAGACCGATACTTTCTTTTAAATGCTACATAATATCAGACTAAGATTAATTGGTATTTCTAGTTTTTCAAAAAAAGTAACCTACGAAATTAAATGAAATTACAATCAAAGGTATTTCTGGCGGTAAAATCAACGAGAAACTTGTTCATCTCCATTTACGTCACTGCAACGCGAATATAATTTTGAACAGGCTCGATATACAGGGTGTCCCAAAAATGTTGTAACACCTTGAAAGAGTTGGTTCGGGGGATGATTTGAAACAACTTTTTCCTTAGCGAAAATGTTGTCCGAGGCTTCGTTGAGGAGATATTAACGGAAAACACTGACCAATCAGAACGCGAGTATGCCGATGGAGCACTGGCGGTAGCGAAGGCTATGTGATAAGCGGCCGCGCTTGTACGCGAACAAGCGACTCGACGTGCATCGAAGGACATTGGACACGACCGCTTAGCTCGTAGCCTTCGCTACCGTGGCCGCGCCAACGGTATACGCGCGCTCTGATTGGCCAGTGTTTTCCGTTAATATCTCCTCAACGAAGACTCGGACAACATTTTCGCTAAGGAAAAAGTTGTTTCAAATCACCTCCCGAATCACCCCTTTCAATGTGTTACAATATTTTTGGGACACCCTGTATACGAAACAATCTGTAGATAGATAATACGTCAAACAATATCAAAAGTATACGTATTTTACAACAAAATCGGCATGTAACATACAATAACATTAAAATTTTCCTCAAGGAAAGTGAAGGAGTAGTACAAAATGAAAAATACCTCTTCAATGTTCAAATAAAAAATATTTTAACGATGTTCGTGTTAAAGCGATGACTAAGAATGCAGACGTTCGATATTGCAACGACTGCAATGATAGCAACGATTGGAATGATTGTAACGATAAAACAGTTTCGCAATTTAGAACATATGTCTTAGCCAACTAGTTATTTTTTTTTTTATTTCCCGGTTGTAACGTACCGGAATGACGTCACGTTCCTACGAAGCAACGAATCATCAACTTTTCGCCACATGTAGCTTTCTCTTCCGGCGACTAGTCTGGGTAAACCGAGGGTATTTCGTTATCGTCGGCTCCTATCAAATACTTTCTTTACACCTGTATTTTCGCGATGGCTATTGGTGACCTTAAGACGGATAAAGGTGTCAAAGATTTGAATTCTTATTTAGCGGATCGTAGTTATATTGAAGGGTAAGTCTATTTTTGTCATCGTGGAATTTGATCGCTACACACGTTCTCGACTTGTCGGCATCTTCGAGGAATCTATCCTTTTCTCTTCTTCTATCGGTTAACGTCTTCGAACAAAATAAACTTTTATGTTGTGACAATCTCGATGTCGCTTGGCATTTTCTCTTTTGCCGGTACGTTTTAACATTTCGTCGTGATCATCTGTTCGTTTGGTTAATATTTTTACACATGTTTTCAACCTTAAATTACCGATCCATATGTCCATCGAAAATGTGAATGAAAGTGACGCTTATTATTAAGAATATCTATTGTCTATTAATTTGCCATTTCTATTTTTGTAAATATTGTACACAGATACTCGTAGTACACCGTATTATTTATGATTATTGTCATATTCGTGACACTTAACCAAAAGATTAATTTTGATGTTTCACTGAATACTTTCTTTTAATATAAACACTTTGGGTTAAGTAAGCTAGTCGACTAATAAACATAATTTTTTCAAGGTGGCAACCTACTCAAGCAGATGTGGCAGTTTTAGAAGCTTTAGGGAAAACCCCTACATCTTCGAATCCACATGTTTTACGATGGTATAATCACATCAAATCGTACGATTTGAAGACACTTCCGGGGGAAAAAACAGCACCTATTCTCTCGTGTAGCGACAGCCCTAGTACCGTAGAAGTAGTCAAAGATAAAGACGAAGACGATGATGTGGACCTTTTTGGATCGGACGAAGAGGAAGATGCGGAGGCTGTAAGAATCAGAGAGGAAAGATTAAAAGCATACGCGGAGAAGAAGTCTAAGAAACCGGCGCTTATCGCTAAATCTAGTCTCGTATTGGATGTTAAACCATGGGGAGACGATACAGACATGAAGGCCATGGAGGATGCTGTCAGATCTATCGAAATGGATGGATTAGTTTGGGGAGCTTGTAAGTCAACTTTTCTTTATCCATTTAAACTATGCTTTTCAAAGTCACAAACGTTTTATATGTAATTAAAACTGATTATGTTTTCAGCTAAACTGGTTGCCGTCGGTTATGGTATTCATAAATTCAGAATAATGTGCGTCATAGAAGACGATAAAGTATCCGTGGACTTACTGGTGGAACAAATTGAAAGTTTTGAAGAATTAGTTCAATCCGTTGATATCGAGTCGTTCAATAAAATATAAATGACTGTTTATGCCCGTTACTTTTAATATAAACTTAATAAATAATAATCATTGTTTGTATATATAATTTGTTACTGGACGATCCTGAAGAATTACTAATGCAACTTCAGTGGTAATATACTAGCGAAGCTTTAAACAGTGTGTTTATTTGAATGCTTCTACCTTGGCATTAGGAACACGTCGAGTTTCGATTTCTTAAATTTTAAATGAAGTTTGAATGAATATAGACTTAATCTATATATTTAGTTTTTATAATTATTAACTATTTAGTTTATCAATGCATAATTTCCTATTTAATGCCAAGCAATCGGTAATCTATCGCTGATCTTTTCTAAGAATTTCTAATTTGCCATATTATTTAAATGTATAGAATATAACTACGGTAGGAAATACCGTAGATATACGTACAGGAGAAGCAACTATATCGACAGCATTATCGTGTTCTCTCGTTTAAGTTTAAAATGCAGTTTCAGCATAGGCTCCCCATCCTGAATAAACATAGCGCTTACAAAAAATCAAAACTAATCGTAGTGTACCGTTAATGGTTACAAAATTTCATAAAGAAATAGACGGCCATTGATCGACAAACGAGAAACTAGATTCGAACTGACCTCGGTTACGTTAATTACCATATTAATTATGGATAAAGAATGCGACCCAGAAGAAGTGTGAATAGGAGTGATACATGACTAACGAATGAAACTAGATTCGATCTAATCGAATCTTGTTACACGGTTCTCAGAAATGTTAAACCTGTTCGGTTTGTGTTTATGTCTGTATCATGTCTGAACTTGGATTGTTTAAATGACACTTGGCGATTCACGAATAAAAGCTATACAACAATGTAACATTTCAGAAACGGAAGATAAAGAAGCGAGTCTTTACTCTATAAAGGAGTGGTTCTTTCTTATGTAGCTGCCTTGCCGTGACCTTGAGTTATCTATGAATGCTAAGTCGACATTAAAATACATGGCGTGGCTCGAAATTGTGCGACTCGTTCCATCCTGACATGAAATTTCTACACAATAGATTAATTTAGTCAGAAAAGGACAAAATTCTTTCTTCTTTATTCGCGATGTAGCAAAAACTCCAAAACATACGACTCTTCGTTTTTCGATCGCAATCCTGAAAGAAACACATAGTCCTTGCCACTGACCTCTGGTTAAGTCCCCACTTCTGTAGGCGGTGTACACATTCACCGCCCACTTGTCGCATTCGCTACAACTCTTTTGTATATAAAAGAACGGAAGGATGGAGCATCCAGTGAATCCGTTTCAAGTATCGCGAGGGAATTCCCAAATATTAAGCACACGACGAGTTCCAAGAAAATTTGTTCGTCCGTGATATAAAGCGCAGATAGTGGAAAAATGGCCCGTTTGTCCAACATTTTTATTGTTGTGTGTGTATTGCCGGTAATCCTAATTTACGGTGAGTAAACATATATTCCACATATTTTTTCCTAAAATATTATTTCTCTGTGATTGCGTTTCGCTCGAATATCACGGATCAAATCGATCGAATAATCATCCGTTATAGACAATTTACTATTTACACATGGTCTGTAACAATCGATTACCAACAATTAACGAATAGAATAAAGTTTTGTATTTGTTGAGTTTTAAGGATTCCAAGCGTTTTTGTTAAAGAACAACCCGCCATGGGTCTAACAAAAAGATTTACGGGGCACCACGAAACCCAATAACAAAGTTTGAGAAACACTGTTATGGAGGGCACGTTGAACAAACGAAGGTCGCGAATACATAAATTCTTACACAAAGTTTTTATTCATCTTTTAGTCGAATTAAATTTCGTTCATCTTTGATATCCATTTAATTGCAATGTATCTCAAACTAGTTATAAATAACATTATCATATCATCAGACTGCTATTTCTTATCAAATTAGTTCAGTTCAGTTCAGTTCAGTGTGGTAACAATTTTTTTTATAGACTTAGATTGCTTTTAACATTTCGAACGTTAGGTCTATTCTACAGATGCAGTATGTAGACGGTATAGTTCAAGTTGTCCTTTTTGTTAGCTTGAAATCCGGTTTTCTATATCTATAAGCATAATATTAGGATCGAAACTATAGGTGTAACGAACAAGTTCAAGGATATCCAGTCGAGATATTAAAAGAAGATCCCGATCCTGATAGTAATAAAAATACTCATCATTATTTTAGTCGATTCTGTGAAATGTCTCTATGCATTCGTTTATTTTCCTCTTTCGTTCCCAATCCTCGTAATTTTTCAGAAAAATACCGAACGATAATATTAAGAGTAATTCCCTTTTTTTACACAGGACAAACCCAATTGCCAGGGGGTGGTGTAGCGATATCGAAAACTTGTTTCGGTTGCATATGCGAAGCTGCTTCTGGATGCAATGTCACAGTGGGTTGCGATGAATCTGTTTGCGGACCATTTCGTATAACGTGGAGCTACTGGGCCGATAGCGGAAAGCCAACACTCCAGGGTTCGAATCAGGACAATGACGGTTAGTGTGCTGTGGATGTCGAATAGTCGATGCATGTCACACGTGATAGTGTTAGCTTTTGTTTCATACAAATATTTGTCCTTTTTTTTCACTTAGCGTATTCACGATGCGTGAACGATCCATACTGCGCGGCTCGTTCTGTACAAGGCTACATGGATAAGTTTGCCCAAGTAAGTTTTCGAATAAATACATATAAATGTATAATTATCTTTTCATCTAATTGTTTTCCTCGCTTATAGGATTGTAACGGAGACGGTGTCATCAATTGCGACGACTTCCTTCGCATTCATCGACTCGGTGGATACGGATGTAGCGGTCCTCTAAACTCAAACTACGAAAGTACTTACAAGTTATGCATGAAAACATTCGAAAATGTTTAATTAACAAACAACGAAATATAAACGTTGACGTATCAAAGCATATTACATGTATTCTTATTATTACGAAATTGCATAATATTTGAATAAACCGTAAAATATTCTTCAACGTTATTCTATTTAACTCTTCCGGGGGGGCCCGCCCCCGTTTCTCTTCCCCTTTTAAGCGCTGAAGGAGAGAGAGGAAAGGAAAGAAAGGAAAGACGAGTATTTATTATATTTTACTAATTTCAAAATATGACTTTGGATCCTTCTGAAATTAGTATTTTATCTATTAATTCAGCTCTCCTCTTCAACATAATTTCTTTGTCGTCCATCATTCCAGTCGAATCGATATTTTTAATTAAAAAACAATTGATAAATAAGCGAAGACTTTCCCTGAAAGTTTGTAACTGAGGGGAAACGGATATTTTATTAAACACGTCTAGACAAGCCTGTTCATTTTTGTGCAATAGGATACCTAGTATGGTTTGTCTAACGAATTTCATGGTTTGTTTGTCTAATTCTGTGAATTCGATAACCTAGAATAAAATTGGACAAGAACTCGTTATACATTCTTAATAAAACGTAATGTAAAATATCCAACTTACTTTTAAAATTGACAAAGGCAGACACTTTTCGATAAATAAATAAGCAAAAAATCGCGCCAGATTATTTAACTGTCTACTTCCATATGTTCCTAGCGTTTTCAGTTTATCCCATAAAGCGTACTGTATGGTCAGCTAAAATATTATCGACAATTAATACTTCTACATACGTGAGCGTGCACAATTAGAAAATCGGATAGTTATACCTGATATTTTCGGTTATATTCGCATAGTTTTTGGGCCAATACCGCATAATAAGGATTGAATTTGTTTTCCTGTAAGCAGCAATGCATTAAAACATTTATAATTTCTTCTCCTTGCTGATCCTTTAAACCGAGGTGATGAAGTTTTTCGAAAGCGTCCAAGTAGTCCTCGGCAGTCATAAGAATGCAAAAAATATTTTTCCTTGTATAGGTATTCATCCTTTGCTTCTGCGCTAGTTCCAGTATTTTCTTTCCAAAGTTAAGCGTATTCTTTTCTTTCGTTCTTTCCTGATCGTTCACGGTGTTTGATCCCGACCAAGCCGAACCAATGATCCACCATTTTCCATTTTCATCGGCTACGATAATAAATAACTGAATACAAGCTCCTAAACTTTCTATTGTAACTGCGAAGAAATAATATCACTTACCGCGTAACAAATCCTCTAGAGACACATTGAATTGCGTTACAGTATTACCTTTACGTATCACGCTTTTTATAATCTTTTTCAAATGTTCCGCATGCGACGGATCGTATTGCGGTATTTTATTAACGTTATTATTCTTTATTGCTAACAAAACGTCCAACATATATTTAACTCTTGAACTAAATAATAACAATATTTTTTAAATGAAATATTTCTAGTAGCCTTTACCGTTGAAACAGTACCGTTGAAACTTACCTCTCTCCAGTACCCTGGCTAGCCTTTTGTTGTAAATTTTGTATAAATTCTTTCAGAGCAATTGGATCATCCTTCCGAAGTGGAAATCCTACTGTTTTTAGTATAAGCAATATCAATTCGATTTCTTTTTCAGTGAATTTAATCATAAGTTTATTGAGTATCTGATAGAGAAGCTTATGTCCGTATACCTGTATTAAATTTAATTAAAAAAAAGAAATCATAGTTCAAAGTCTATTTTAATTCATGATTCATTATTAGAATGTTGTACCTTAAAGTTATATAGATGAGCAATCATGAGTATCACATTATCCAGTTCCTTGTTTTCTACATCCTGCGTCGCTTCCATCGTTTCGACAAATTTTTTAACGAGTTTTTCTAAAAAGTGAGCACCCACTTCGACGCCAACGTTAGCATGTAGGATAGCGATCAACATCATATGCTCGCAAATGAGACGATCAGGTGTAAGTATACGTCCAACTAAAGCTTCAAACGTCAAATTTAATAACATATGATTCATATCATAACGACTGTGAGCCATATACATTTCTTCTATCTGCAACATGTAAATGATATATTAAACAATTTCATTATTTTTATACCTCTGCTTTAAAATATAATTACCTGATTAGCTATAGTATGAATATTATGTTCTGCAACTCTGTTTAAACATCCTTTCAATTGTTTTTTTAAAGTATGCAATTTTTGACTATCCATATTAACACTATCCACGTTAATTCGTGCTGCTGGAGGTAAGTATCTTTTAATTTCGTTTATAACATTACCATCCTTATCCCTTTTTCTTCCATAGATATCTTCCCATAGGTCTTCATCTTTAACATTAGTATCTACAGACTCATCATCGACCTTATTTATTTCTAAATCGCTACTGTCGCTTAAATTATCTTCAATTATAGAAGCAGAGCTATTACTAGTGTTTTCATTTTCATTGCACTCATATAATTCGTTATCAACTTGTGTATTTTCTATTGGAGTTCCCTCGACAGCCATTGTCAAATCTTCTTCAAAGTCATTATTAATCTCATTTTCTAGCTTCTCTCTCTCTGTTTCCACCATGCATTTCCTGTCATCTTCTAAACAAAAATTCAAAATATCTGTTCTTGTGTTAAAGAAATATCCTTGAATTATATTAATATTTTGTACTCTTTTCCTAAATATAACCATATCCAAATGACTGCTGTTAATTAGAATACACATAGTTATTCAATAAAATGAAAAGGATACAATCCAATCCATCTGCTACAAAAGATTTAGGGATCGACTTCTTCTTTCTTTTATTCAGTTTCAATTGCTTTTCCAATTTCTTGATGATTTTATCTTCTTTCAAATTTTCTTCCTTAAGTAATTCCTTCTTTTTGTTATTCTTTCTACGTTCTAAATTCTGTTGTTTCCTTTTCCTAATAGATTTCTGTTGCAAATCAATAGTCTTGTCAGTAGTGTGGTCATCGCTATTCTCATTTTCATCTATTGTACGTGTCTTTAAATTTTCGTCGTCACGCGTACGTGAAACATTAAATTCACTTTTATTTTGAAAATAAATTGCTCTATTTATTTTCTTTTGCTTCCTGACTTCTTTACGCAGTTGTTTGCGTGATTTCTCTACTAATTTTGAGCTCGAATGTTTCTTTCTCTTACCATTCGATGTAAACCGTTTAAACGAGCCCATTTTTTATTACAATGAAATAGATTAAATGAATTTTTATGAAACTTGTAGAAACATTGATATTTAAGGTTTCATACTATTGTTTGTATGAACATATATTTTAATAGGTTATCTTTCATTTTGTGCATCTAGTAACGCCATCGGTGGGAAAACGGCTAAGTTTCTAGTGAAAACAGTTCCTTTTTTTACTGCTAGATGGCACCACTAAATCTAATAATGTGGGGGGGGGGAGATGGACTAAATATTAAATTCAACACATTCATAAACAATATAATTTGATTTTACATATAATTCAATGTTCACCCTCTTATGTACATACACAGTCTCACACATACATGTACTTATACATACGTACACATGCTCACACATCTGTAGTTACTTCATCCTCTTTTGCTTTAATAAATGATTTCTCAAAGCAATCTGTTTTTCCTTGAAAGATCGTTTTACTTTTCCTTTTACTTTGTGCTTCAACATTTGAAAAGCTTTCATTTTCTTCTTTTCGCGATTCGTTGTACTACAAAGCGGATTTTGACGACCATCTTTGTAACCAAATCTTTCTCTTCCCTCTTGACCTTTCTGTAAAAGAAAACAAACAGAAATGTAAATCAACAAAGATATATATTTTTCTGCATTTTGTCCTATTCTCGCAACTATGTGATCAAGTAACTATAATTTGAGGAATCAGTCGCATTGAATTGTATAATAAAATTAAAACGAACCTTTACAGATTCGATACGAGCTTGCTTGTCGTGTTTTCGTTTTTTATAAATGTTTTCAATATCCGTTAATTTGACAAAATCACTACGTTCGTTGTCAATTGGGTGAGGCCTCTTTGTGCCGCGTTTAGCATACGTTACTTGTCGCTTTGCTAGTGCCATATCTATTTTTACGAAGTCTTCATCGGTTAATAACCGTTCCGTAGATATCAGGGATGCTTTTCCTTTCTCTTCTGCCGTTGCCACCTGTGTTTTTTCAAATTTCAAATCCTCCTGCTTTTTCATTTTCAGTTTCTTCCGTTCAATTTTGCTCATCTTTTTATTTATTTCTTGATTTTGTGCACTGTCGACCTCTCTTGTATCTACAATCTCTGCTTTCGACTCATCGTGTTCGTTTGCTCCATCATCTTTCTCTTTTTGAAATGATGCAGAAGTGTCATTATCATTATCATCACCATCACCATCACCATCACCATCACCATCACCATCGTCATCGTCATTTTCATCAGCAATGCTCTTTTCGTCACTACTATGACTTACATCAACCCATTCATCATCGCTATCCTATATCAAAGATTTTAAGATTGCCATGTCTTCTTTATAAACCCGATCAATCATAAACAAAAATAAATTGTATGTTATTTAACGATAGTTTCATCACTCACGTCATTTTCGGAGTCAATCTCAAAAGTTTCCTCAGACTTGTCTAATTTATTGTCAAGCAAAATTTCAGCACCAGGAACAAAATCATTGGCAGATATTTGTCCATATTTTGGAACTGCCAAAGTAATAGTTGCCTCTGTAGGCCGTCCTCTGTCCTTTTTATGTAGTAGCTCTGGTATCGTAGATCTAAATAAACCAATCAAAGAACGTGCAGCCATCATTACGCTACGTTCTTTGTAATGCTTGTATCGTGCTAAATCTTGCAATAAATCTGCATTCATGACCAAAGGACACCGCACGCATATTTCTCGAATGGCATTCAAACTGCAATTAGTAATTTATATGAAATGAACTAAGTTTTTTCTAAAACTATCAACTCGCCGCTACTTTGCTTGCTACAACATACCCAATAGCCATAACGTCGGCAGAATTTCGTTCCGTAACAAAATTGTTTGCCAGAGTTTTCAAAACAGGTTCCAATACATCAGGAGGTACGAGCTCGTGAGATGACTGGGCGACGAATTGTAAAAGTTTTGTTACCTCTAAGTCCATTACAGTTGACCAATTATTATAGTTTACTTAATTCTAATAATAACAACAATACTTCTATAATAAACAAATTTACCTCTTTGATGTGGTTGTAGAAATCTTTGTAGGTACGGATAAAAGTTTAATAGAAATAAATTATGCAAACCGATAAGTCTAGAGATTACATCTAAAGTTAGCAGTTTAATTTCAAATCTATCGTTATTTTTTTCCAATTGTTTAAACAGTTTCTCCGCAAAGCCTTGCGGATCGTGAATCAAATGTAACGCTGAGAAATTAAATCCTGGCGCTTTCGAAGCTTTCTTTTTAGACTTCTATAATATTAAAAGTTAAATATGCATTAGAAGAGTAATGTAACATTGTTACCTTGATCTGACTTACCGCCAACAACTGCTTCGCTTTCGCTAATTGTTTCTCGCGTTTCTTTGTCTTTTTATTTACTCTATTAGCCATTACAATTTCTTTAATGTTTGGCTCGCTATCGCTATCGCTATCGTCATCTTTTTCTTCTATCAAAGTTGTTCCTACAAAGAACTTTAAGCAAGCGACCATAACTTTTGTTGTTTTAGCAAAACATCCTGTTGCTAGAACATTTACGGTTTTTGCATCGTTCCAAATATTTTTATTGTACAATTCGATCATAATATCTGCAGACATTTTTGCGGCTCTAACATTAGAATCTTTCAACATGGAAAACATAAAGTTTTGAAGAGTTGTATTAAGCTTTGCATTCTTTTGTTTAGCATTAACATTTTTAATGTCAGCGATAATATGCGCTTGAAGAAATTGTCGCAGATTTTTATCCTGGCATCTTAAGAGTTGAAAGAATAAACTAAGAAGTACAGTGGGTTCCAAAAGAGATTTGTTACGAAGCTGAATCAAGGCTTTGCAAAATGTCTACAAAAAAAGACCGATTAGTATAATTCAGAAACAAATAACTAAATCTGGTAATAGTTTGTTTAGCTCTACACTTACTAATCGCATTTCATTGTCAAGCACCGCATTATATGCCTGTAGTACATCGATAATTTCCTGGGGAAATGATTCTAAAGCATTTGGATAACAGTGTGCCACCTGTATCAAAATAATAAAATTATTCTACAATCGCTCAATCAAAAAAAAAAAGAAAATATTTACAAATTGTAACTTTTTATTTGTTAGAAATCAATAAATAGATACAAAAGTGAATAATAATTTGCACGCTAATAACTTATTTATACAATAAATGTTTGATCAAAAGTATTCTTAATTTAATGCATAATATTGTACATGTAATTCTGAATACCGAATCCAACAGTCTTAGCTATAACCAGAATGAAATCGTAGGATACGCAACACTTAAGTTTAGGTTCATCCAAGTTATAATTTCCCACGGTAGTTAATAAACCAAGTTGACACATCGATGGAATTTGTGCAAGTAAACTGGCATTTATATCGACTTTTTCATCGAGAATTGCGCAAAAAATTGCGAGCATTCTAGATACTGGAAAATTCGATGGCCCATTCTGGATGCTTAATTTTGTCACGTTCTTTTTACTAATAGCTTTTCTTTTCTTCTTCATTTTTTGTTTTGCAAACAAATGTTTATCTTCTTTTGCGGGATTATACGAAGCAAGATACGAAGCGATCAGTATGTATTTTGCATAATACGGTAATTCAAAACTTAACGCCAATTTAGTTGTCGATTCAATTTCATTAGAAAACTGATTATTTCTTGCAAAATCTTCACATGAAACTCGTAGATAAATAACTTCTAAATTTGCCTTAAAAACTGCAGAAATATTTCTCCACAGTATAGCAGTGTCAACTTCCTTAATTCCATCGGTTTCTATGGGTTGTACATATTTAGAAAAATTTAGCTTGGCCATGTAGTTAAGTTCGTTAAGATCTCTGCAGAACCGAAAGAATACAGAAAGAAATAAGTTTAAGTAGTTTTTGTAAAACGTGTCTTCGTAATTGCACGACTTGCACGAAAGTAATATTTCGGCGAATTCATTTCTCACGTATTGTGGAAAATGAACTTTAATCGGTTCGTACATACCGACTTTTACGCGAAACTTTTCCCATACTATGCCACCTATAAATATTACACAGACATTAACATCTGATAGCTCTTTCAATCTGGAGAATGCAGGTAATAAATGAGCATTGTTGTCCCTTAATTTCTCACATTTATCGAATACTATAACAATCGGGCGACTATCCTTCAACGAAACTTCTTTAAGACTAATTATAAAATCTATAATATTGTCGCATCTATGTTCTAATTTGGTATTGCTTGCAAGATCGCTCAAAATATAATTAAATATGTGTTTACTATTCACGTGTTCGATACAGTTAATTATAGCGGTATTGTATTTTAAGTACGAAAGCATATTTTCTACTACTAAAGATTTTCCGGTAGCTACATGACCATAAACAAATATACTATAAGGCATCGGTTCATCCGAGTAACCAATCAATGAATAAAGTTGATTTATAACGCTTTTCCGACACAGAATCTTCCCTTCTATGGATTGCAAATATTTTTCCATGTTTACTATTCTTAAAAATTCCTTAATAGTAGACAATTGTAACAATGTTATTACGTGGCAACTGCTTGCCGAGACTTTTACTCGTATATTTTGCTTATTATACCTGGAAGAGAAAGACCTTATCTTCTAGTATTTTAGGATCTCGTAAGATGAGAATGATATGGGTTATGTATACTTTTTTTTTGTAAAGCTAAAATATTTACCTGTGCCAAGAAGGTGACTATTTCATCGAGACTCTTGTTGAATTTGTTAGGCGATAGACAAAACACCTCCAAAGTAGACTTATAATGTTGTTGTTGTTGAAGAAACTGTAAGAAAATATACATGTAACGAAGCTGTACGAATGTAAATTAATTTACAATAATAATACAAAAAAACTATATAAAGTATTAGGATAAATGACTTACTTCTTCCTTGTAAGACTCTGGATCCCGTTTGATAAGATTTTGCAGTTGTGGAAGATTTTCCGGCAATTGATTATTATGTCTCACCATCGTTTAACCTACACATATTGAACATTGAAAAATATTTTATTCGGTACACGAAGCAAAATATATGTAATTAATAAATGTAATCATAATTCTATATTATATTAATGGTAAACCTTTAAATAATCCATTCAGAAAATCAAATACTTAACAATATTATTTTATAACGATCAAGAAACTCGATTATGATTATGCACAACTAACCTAAAAATTTTATTATTGGTACATCTACCGAACACGTGGATAATACAATTTAACGAACAACTATTGTATCATTTGTAAATCTAAAAACAGTTTGATAACAGAATCTACTTAACAAATATATATACAGTTTCAATTCAATTTGGTTTCATATATCTCAATAATTACTTTCATTTGTAAATTGCTGAGAATAAAAAATATGCAACTATTTTATAAAAACATAATAGAGAGAATAATATAAATATATGTGTTACGTACCATTTAAAATGTTCTGATAAGATTGTTATTTTACACAACAATACAATTATAAAGTTAGATGGATAAATTTTACCGCGTTTTATTCGATAAGGTAACGATACTGTACTGACTGCACAGTAACTGCACTGTACTCAACTGTACTGCAATCTGCAATCATCTGCAATTGGCTGCAATTGCCTGCAGTTGTCTACAGTAGTTGTGCTGCACTTGTACTAAACACATACAAAATTGTACAACAAATACAAAACGAAACGTTAAATTAGTGATTATTATCCAAAGACAAGAAACAGAAGTATAGATGTACCTTTCGAAAACTACATGATGTATCAGGTAATGCATGGATTTTCAGAAAGGAATAATAACGATTGCAAGTGACAGTTGAAATAAATGGGGTCCGATAGCGAAGTACCCGAAGATGAGGAAGAAATTCTTGTATACGTGGAATTTGAAGGACTCGTCGACGATAATGTATTTAGCGAAGAACAATTGCAATTGGATATGATTGGTATAGACACAGATCATCCGATAATGCAAATCAATGGGAAAGTAATTATATAATGCATATTTACATATTTTATATATTTTATATATACATAAAATAAAAGCATTCTGGTACGATGTACTGATAATGTTAACCATTTTAGTTTTATGAAGGTACTTATGAAGATGTTTGCGGTACTTATATGTTTTTTATGAAGAGTGACAATTCCACGGTAGAAGATCCTGTCTTCGATGTCCCCTCGAATTTAAAATATTTTGGTAAAACTAGAAAGTTTCTAAAGATGCAAAGAATTTTTCTAAAACCTAGAACTGAAGTTCTCGGTGATTCTAAGCATCCTAAATGTATTCCTAATTTGAATACGGTTAAAGAGGCTGGAGTACCTGGTCGATATCAAACAGAAGGTATAACTAGCTATTAATTTTTTTTAAGCCAAAAGGACTATATTTTTAATAAAATTTATATTTTTATACAAATAATAAAATTTGGTTGAAACTATAAAATAGTTTTTGTTTTATAGCTCTTTCTTTTTGGAAGACTTTGCGCAACAATAGATTACATGCATTGCAATCGTATTTAGAAAAACAACGAATAAGACAACAGAAAAAATCTCAAGGTTTAACATTAGAATCTGAATCCGACGAAGATAATCCTTTCGCCGTGTATAGACACAAAGAAGAACTCGATAAAACAAACGAACCCGAAGACGTTCGCTATCGATCGGAAGAAGAGTCGAGTTATTGCGATGACGAGCTCTACTCTAAATTTAAGTTTCCTAAAGGAATTGCCAATGAAACTATAGATACAGCTGAAGATAGTTGCGAGAAAAATCTCAAGGAACTTGAGAATTTATTAGAATCTGAATCATCGATCGTAAAAGATGGTGGTAGTTCCTCAGTTAGATCCGTAAAGGCGTATAAAACTAGGACATTTCGAAAGAAAAACACTGGCAAAGCTATACAAAGAATAAAAAATAAAAAAACACAAATCTCGTTAAAAGATAAAAATATATCGCTTGATAAAAAAGATAGAGAATCTTTAAATATGAAAGAGACATTGGATGAAATGAATAGATCCGATAATACTGAAACTTTAGATACGTTAGATATTGCAAAAGATGAAAATGAAGCGTTAATTGACGAGCATGAAGCTAAGTTAATTGAAAAGTCTGAAGCGGAAATTAATCAAGCAGATTCTACTAATTGCAAAACTGTAAAACTACTTAAGCGAGAAGCAAAGATGAAAGAGATTTTGGAAAAGTTGAAAGCAATGGCAAAAGAACATACAAACGCAACCAAAGATTAATATAAATGTACGTTCACTAAATTTTTATATCCAAATGTATGTATTAGTTTTACTTGCCAACAATTTTTATTTTTTTCATACCTCATCTATTAATTTTTTCTTAATTAATGTCACATGGACAAATTCTAATGGTTATTAAATGTAAATTTATTTACTTTTTTGTATGTATTCTTTTAATTAAATTCTTTTGTAAAGTGAACAATTTTTGCTTCCTTTATTGAAAATGCTACAGACAATACTTTATAATAAAATTGTGTCAACCAAGCGACTGGTATGCATCGCAATATTTTGAGACTATTTTAGTATTCGCGTACCTTATTTATGTAACTTATTTTTTAAATACTGAACTATATTTTTAAATTACACACCAATGAACAATCGATTTGTAGTTGATGTGTACAACTAAATTTTAAATTACATTAAATTAGATCTTGTTAAGTGGCTTTGGTGTTGATATTAAAATAGACAAAACTGATAATACATGGTTTAATAATGTATGGTCCACTGTCTATAGATTTATATGTACGGTTCATTTTTTCACCAATCCAAATCACCGGGAAGTTCGTCGGGATAGTCTCCGGTCAAACAAGCAGTACAGTGACCAATGTAACTGCTTTCTCGATTATCCATACCAAACCTTACAGCCTTAACAAGTCCATCCACTGAAAGGTACGTTAAACTGTCAGCTCCAACATGTTTTGCTAGTTTTACATTATCTAATTTATTTGCGATTAGTTCCTCCCTTGTCGGTATATTAATACCCATATAGCATGGATATTTTAACGGAGGTGAAGCTATTCTAATATGAACCTGTAAAGATACATTTAGATGTCAATTGTTCTTTTACATGTCTTTACATTCTCTAAAATACAAAATTAAAATTGATTTAGAAAAGATACTTGCTTCCTTTGCTCCTGCATCACGAAGTAACTTGATAATTGGTCCGATAGTGTTTCCTCTAACAATCGAATCATCGATAAGAATTAACTTTCTTCCTTTCACGTTTTCCGATAGAGCTCCAAACTTTTTTGCTACGCCGAGTTGTCTAAGTCGCGTACTAGGTTGGATGAATGTTCTACCAACATATCTATTCTTGCACAATACTTCCGCGAAAGGTATTTGAGACTGTAGATTAAAAATATTTCTTCAACGCTACTTTTTTCCTTTTCAAGCTTATTCTTGAAATTAACGATTCGAAGAGAGATTTAGTATTTTTACCTGTCTAGCATAGCCATGCGCTGCTGCTGTTCCAGATTCAGGTACAGAACTAACTATATCTGCTTCCACTGGACATTCTAAAGCAAGCTCTCGTCCACATTGCATGCGAACAGAATAAACCATTTGTCCTGTAATAGTAAGTTTCTGTAAAAAACTTGGTTAAAAAGAATCATATACTTATCGTAATATTATAGTTTAATTTACCTTCAAAAATACTGTCGCTGCGTGCAAAATAAACATATTCAAAGATACAAAAGGCTTGTGGCTTTTTATCTGGTCTATCAACGATATCTATAGTCTTAATACCCTCACGCGTCAATTCTACAATTTCTCCAGGAAATACCTCGCGTACATATCGTGCTCCGATACTTAAAAAGCCACACGATTCAGACGAAATAACCCAACCATCGGCATCGTCGTCATCATCCGATTCATTTCCTGCTACATGAAAATATTACGCTACATAAAACTTCACTATAACGCTATTATTGTGTTTACCTTTTAAAAACTGATTACATACCTAGGTTACCTATTGGTACAATTTTTCCAAGGCATAACGGACGATTTCCATAAGGATCTCTAACACCGTATATCTTATCCCTTTGCATAATTACTAACGAATACGATAACGGTGCTAATTGCATGAGATGCTTTATACGCGCAGGCCAATCCGGACCGTTAACTTCACCTTCAGGAGGGTTCAAACACAGAGCTTGCGTTATTAATTCCGAGTCCGAGAATGTCGACAGGCCAACCCCTCGACCCAATACCTAATATAACCAATCAAAAAGTATTAGTAACAACCCCAAATGAAAATAACAACATCGATCTCTAATATACATCGTTACCATCTTTCTTAGCGATTCTGTATTCACGAGTTCTCCGTTATGAGCAACTGCTAATGCTCCATGCGCAGTGTGAACAACAAATGGTTGGCAATTAACTTCTTCGCTTGCCGCGCTTGTGCTATATCTAGTATGACCAATTCCAAGATTTCCACGAAGTTTCTTCATATTTTCATCGTTAAAAATGTTATTAATCATTCCCATACCCTTGTGAACATGAAAGGATTTCGAGCAAACACCCTCGCTGGTGACAATACCAGCACTTTCTTGACCCCTATGCTGTAGGGCAACCAAACCTATAAATACGTTATCCGTCAGAAGTACTCGATAATTTTTAGAGAGAAAAGTAACATCAAATTTAGTCTAATTTACCTAAACAAATAACTTGACCAACATCGATTTGAGATGGCCAATCACCGGCAGCTATGCATCCAAAGACTCCACATTCGTGTGTCAGACCAGACATTCCTGGACCCTTAGTCTCTCCTTTAGGATGTGATCTTTTGCCTTTTATATTCACTTTAGACATTACTCGAGGCCAGGACTCTGCTTGCATGTTACGAGACGTTTCCATTTCGGTCTAAAAACCATTTACTTGTTAATAGTTTATCCAAAATTTATATCAAATTCGAAACTATACTATCAATGGTACATACAAAAATCAGTTTTCTTTTGGAATTTACAAATTGTATTTTTCAATGTACATATTACGCAATTATTGGAGAAAATAAACAATATTATTATTCTTATATAGCAAAACATGTACCAGACCCCCTCGAGATTTCTTCTGAATTATCAGTAGTGTTCTTGTAAACTATTGACCCCTGCCGAGCTGATAGAACTCCGCTTTCAATGTTGCTACTATATTTTTTCTGTATACTTGCTTAATCAGTATTTCACAACTGATTTCGTCATTGTACCACATTGACATCGGTATGCATGGAAAACATTTGTACTTGTAAGCTACTCTTGTAAAGCGATACAATATTGTGGATCTTGTTCTAACAAAATACTGGTATTCCGTGTGATTAAACAACACTACGTTATGAAATAGTTGTTCTGGCTTCACGTTCTTAGCAATTTCAGTTAAAACTATTGCTAACAATTCATTCTTTTCAATAAAATAGGAGCACATGTACGCACGCGCGCAACTGTAATGTGGATTCAAACAATAATTCCTTCAAAGGGAATAAACTACACATAAAATGCAGAGAATTCGGCAGGGAGGTAAACTTTCATTCGACGATGATCATAATTTTACTAATGTATTTGAAGTTTGATTGATTAAATAACGTTAGCTGTTGGGATTGTATCGGAATCCTAATCTTTTTGTTGGAGACTGTACCGACTTGTTGAATGAGATTCTTGGCGGCCTCGTACTGAATATGAAAACTATGTTACATATATGCTCTTCAAGCTCTATTTCTTCAAAACGAACATTCTTCATCGCATTTTCCTTAGAACGTATGCTTCATAGGACTCGATGATTATTTTCGAGCACTCTCTCGTTTAAATATGCGAATTTCAAAGCATTCATATCGTACATACCACGTGCGTCAAACGTTTGAACGTTCGTGTTGTGTTGTTCTGCTGTCAGCACGAAAGAGTTCACATGAAATATGCCTCTCGACTGGCTTCCGTAGCACGAATGAATGCTTTAACCAATGGAAACCTGCTTTTGACTGGAGGGGTTAGCTTCTTTAGCTATTATCTTATTTTTAAATTCCTCGATTGCTTGCTTATACTAATTAAAAAAACAAATACCATTTGCGGAAGATTTGCAAAAAATTATGTACTTACAATCTACTATGTTCAATTGTATATGTTACTGTGTATGCACGACCAAACTTATTTCAACGATCACTGATTTATATTCGACCATCGATTGATTGATTTTTTTTTTGTTCCCATTAAAAAATCGATCGTAGTCTATATTTTCTGTAAACACATTACACATCGATTTATGATTATATAACGACAAAAATATTATTTACGAAATCGAAGTTGTTGCTGCTTCTTCGTAGAATTATAACTTCTGTTGTACTACTTTTGTCATTCTGTTATTTTCAGTTTCAATTATGTCGACTAATATTCTCGTAAAATATATGAAATTCGAAGGAAGCTGTAATAAATACATTTTATCGTCTGATCATTTGTAGAATTATACAGAAGTTAATGAAATTTTGTCGTTGCTTCTTTTTTAATATTTGAAATTGTTGGGGTCGATGCATCATGTTTTTATGATTTTTCGTGAATTTTTATTTATATGATACGCGCGGTCTACAGATACGCAATTTAACCCGTGTTGAGATATTTTATAAATTTACGCCAATCAAACGAAGTAGAATTTTAAAAGTGGGGATCGTTAAAGACTTGTTCAACGATCATACAAGAAGACATTCGACTGCGACATTCGTGAAGTGACCGGATAAGAGGAAACATGACTGGTAAGTAACGGATTAATTATTTTGATACCAGTCTCTTCATTTATAAAAAAAAAGGGCAAAATGATTTTTGTTATACGATTACATTATTTCAAATACATAGACATTCCTACACGTGCCCAAACGATTCACGTGTACTATTGGCATATATTATTATATCATTGTTTGATCATTTTTAGTATAAGTTCGCAATTATATCCCGATCTGTGCTACAATAGAAACGGAATAATTTTAATTTAAATTATTCACTGTCTGGTCCATTAGAATACAAATGTGGAAAATTGATCATCGAAGGAAAGACTAAGAAGGTTTATGAACTTTTAAATGACCCTACGTTATGCCTGCTAGAAAGCAAGGATCGTATAACTGCCGGAGACGGTGTAAAATCTCACGAGCTGAAAGGCAAAGCAGCTATTAGTACAGCTACTACAGATAAAGTTTTTCAACTATTAAACGAAGCTGGAGTAAAAACTGCCTTTGTTAATCTAGTTAGCGATACCACTTTTGTTGCAAGAAAATGCCAAATGGTACCGATAGAATGGGTTACTAGAAGATTAGCTACCGGCAGTTTTTTACGGAGACATCCAGGTATACAAATCTAATAGAAATCCTCAATTCTATAGAACCATTTGTCTATTTATTTATATTGTCACGCAGGAGTTCCTGAAGGATACAGGTTTAATCCCCCGTTACAAGAAACATTCTTTAAAGATGACGCTAATCACGATCCTCAATGGTCAGAGGAACAAATTATTTCTGCAGGTTTTAAGTTGAATGGAATTACAATAGGAAAAGATGAATTTGACGTTATGCAACGTACAACTCTTGTTGTTTTCGAAATTTTGGAAAGAGCATGGGCAACCAGAGACTGTGCTCTTATAGATATGAAAATAGAGTTTGGCGTGGATGCGAATGGTGAAATTATGGTATCAGACATAATTGATAGCGACTCTTGGAGGCTTTGGCCATCTGGGGATAAAAGGCTGATGAAAGATAAACAAGTACTCGATAAAATTAATTTATATATTATAATATGATATAATTTGTTTACTTTAGTATGACATTTTTTGCATCAGGTGTATAGAAATTTAACTACGGTAACTCAAGAAGATTTGGATGTTGTAAAACGCAATTTTAAATGGGTGGCTGATCAACTCGACTACCTTATCCCACGGCAAAGTAGCCTTGTCGTTATTTTAATGGGTTCACCATCTGATGAGGAGCATTGTAAAAAGATAGCGAAACATGCCAAAACTTTAGGTCTAAGGGTTCAGCTTCGTGTGAGCAGTGCCCACAAAGCTACGCAAGAAACATTGCGTATTCTTGCAGAGTACGAAGGTAGCGGCGAAAAGGTATTTGTAGCGTCAAAAATAAATAAATCGTTAACTATTTCATATAATTTTTGTTCGTATAACATAAGTCGTCATGGTTCCTTTTTACATTCTAAAAAAGATATGTTTACCTTTAAAAGAATACGAATAACAGTGACTAGAGAATTTCCCCTAACAGTTGCGTTGAGTTTACCGACCTGCACATATCGCTCGAACGTGTCGCAAAACCAATCGATTATAAACATATGAGGTGATGAGTCTTTTATTTTTTAGGTGGTGCTAATAGCTGTGGCAGGAAGAAGTAACGGATTAGGTCCAGTATTATCCGGAAACACGCCATTCCCTGTTATTAATTGTCCACCTTGCAAACCAGAAAATATCTCACAAGATTTATGGTCATCGATTAATGTACCTTCGGGTAATTTTCAAAGTATTTTTGATTATAATTGTAGTAAATGTTAAATATACTATTAAGTTCATTTTATTCTTAGGAATTGGATGTACCACAGTCGTCTACCCCGAAAGTGCAGCCCTTGCAGCGGCTCAAATTCATGCACTGCACGATCATCTGGTTTGGTCGCGTCTACGGGTAAAGCAATTACAAAATTTTATCGCCTTAAAGCAAGCTGATGTTCAGCTAAGAAATCTTGATATCTAAAAAGTGTAAGTCCATCGATGAATGTACGTTAAAAGTGTAAGTACAGCGCGTATACCCGTTAATTTGAAATATTCGCATTCTAGATCTGTTGCGTATGTTTGTTGTTATCGTTTCTCCTAGTTGTTCTTTACCGATTGAAAGTATATAAAATATTCATTTATGTCAGATTCAACGATTTTTCGAATAACAAGAACTTATACAATTTTGTTCATAATCGATTTTAATATGTTATTTGTAAATCTGAAGTAAAATAAAGCTATTATCTCGTTAATTACGCCGATATATCGTAATATTAGATAAACGAACCGATAAATATGTACACGGTATTTTTATTTCTGTCGTTATTATTGATTTTGACTCGCCAAGGCTTCTATTTCAGCGATTCCTTTTGGACAACTTTCCGTTAAAATTACCGGACCATTCTCCGTTATTAAAACGTCATCTTCGATACGAATACCTAAACCATGAAATTGTGGTGGCGCAAATTGATTTTTATGATTCACGTATATACCTGTAAGAAATAAAATAATACAATTACTTGAAAAGTTACAGATAAAGTATTTTCGATAATATCGTACCGGGTTCTACGGTCACTATCATTCCTGGCTGTAGTTTTATGTTTCTGGAAATTTTTCCTGTGTCATGAACATCCATTCCCAAGTAATGGCTAACGTGATGCGGGCAATAAGTATAAGCAGCGGACAGTAAGTTATTCCCGTTAAAATGTTTTGGTATTAATCCAATTTCTTGTAACCTTTCGCTTAACAAAGAGCACATATCTTGAAATAATTGATCTAAGCGAGGCATTTCTTTCAATCTGTCGATTAAAATATTTTGAATATCTAGTATAATTTCGTATAAAACTTTTTGTTCTTGCGTAAATGTGCCATTGATTGGCCATGTTCTGGTTACATCAGACGAATAGCCATGATACTCACAACCTAAAGAAATTTCAAAAGATAAAATTATTCCGCGCGTAACGAAACAGACAATTCTGAGTCGATAAACATATTGGACAAACCTGCATCCATCAAAACCATATCTCCATTTTTAATAATTTGGTTGTTGGTAACGTAGTGAATGATATTTGCATTTTTACCTCCCGCGACAACCGGCGGATACGCCAAGAATTCAGCACCGTTCATACGACATTCGTAATCTACAGTTGCGAATAGGTGATGCTCGCTCAAACCTGGTTTCGACATTTCTATCGTTCTAGATATAGCTGCTGAAACAATCTCGCAGCTTTTTTTCATTAATTCAATTTCAGATTGCGATTTAATCAATCGAATCTTATGTATTAGACTTATCGGGGAGACAAATCGTTGACTATCTGTTATTTTAATTAATTCAAGTAATCTCCTATTCAGGCTTGGCTGTATCGTATCGAAATTGTCGTACCAAATTATACTCTTCTTGTTTTCATTTGTAAATGATATAAAGAATTGTTCAAACTCTGATACAGGAAGAGCCAAATCGACGTCGAACATTTTCGATGCTCCTTCGACTCCAGTTCTAGGACCATCCCACAATTCGGAATGTTCGTCTTGCGGTCTTACAAATAGCGTTGTTACAAAATTTTCATTTTTTGCTGTAATTACCAAAATACTGTCGGGTTCTTGACAACCAGTGAAATATAAAAAGTCTGTATTTTGTCGGAAAACGTACGGTATTCTATCGGATATGTACACTTTAGAGGCCGATGGAATAACGACGATATGCGGTTTGCCAGGGTTCGCAGCATGAGCTTGCGAATGAATACTTTCCATCAATTTACTTCGTCTTCTTTTGAACTCATTCAGCTGAATACCTGGTACAACTTCTCCGTCTTTCATCAGATGAGGATGCGTTAACGCTGTTGGTTGTCCACACGATCGACAAAGAACCGTCGACGATTCCTCGGCTCGTCGTTGATTTAAATTATTTGTAAATTTACCAATCGAGTGCCGAATATACGTTCGTTGTCCTGCAATTACGATTAACGTTGAAATTAGTATAGAAATTCCAAATTTATATCTACCTAATAATACCTAATAATAATATAAGCATAACCTATCGTTTATCGCTATATTTCATTTCAATTCTCACCATATTTCCTAATCTGGAATATAATAGAATTTCTCACGTTGCCGAACATTTTGATCTATTTTATATTAAAATATTTTAAATGACTGATCGAGACATTCGCGTACATATGACATGTCACACCGTACCCACGTGGTACCAGTGCAGCGTGGTTTATGCAACGACTTCTTGAAATGTGTACAGTGTTTTGCTGGTTTTCCCTTCACACAGCATTGCAAACCGAAATTTTACAGGTCCACTGTCCCAAGTCACAGTGTGACAATCAGTGAAAATCGGTGGAAATCAATGACTATTTTATTACTCATTCGAATAATCGGTGATAAATTTTCTACTCTGATATAGAAATTTTCTTCACTGATTATCGCGACGCGACTTTGTGATTCGTGACCGTCGCTTGTTTCTTTTTTTATGATTCAAATATCTTATGGATATAACCCTTTGACTATTATAAGGTTATAACCAATTATAACCTTCGAGTATATTTATATATTCAAAGCTTATAACCATGGTCTGACACTTCGACTATATATACTTATAGACATGGCTTCAGATAAATGCTTTGAAGCAAAGATAAAATCATCTATAAATAACAGTGTAAATAACATCTGTAAATAACAATGTATATACAAGGTGTCTCAAAAATGTTGTAACACCTTGAAAGGGGCGGTTCAGGAGGTAATTTCAAACAACTTTTTCCTTAGTGAAAATGTTGCCCGAGGTTTCGTTAAGGAGATATTAAGTGAAAACCCCGACCAATCAGAGCGCGAGTATGCCGGTTGAGCGTAGGCTACGCGATAGGCGGCCGCGCTCATACGCTACCGCGGCCGCTCCAACGGTATACGCACGCTCTGATTGGTCAGTGTTTTCCGTTAATATCTACTTAACGAAGCCTTGGACAACATTTTCGCTAAGGAAAAAGTTGTTTCAAATCACCTCCCGAACCACCCCTTTCAAGGTGTTACAACATTTTTGGGACACCCTGTATATGATCGAAGATCTGATAGTTGCTAACTTCAAGACTGAGGCCAACATCTAGTGGCGCCCTGTGTGAATCTTACCAACTAAAATGGAACGATTATAGGTTATAGGTTATATAGTCAAAGGGTAAGGATAGAAACATGGACGGCGCCACCGTCGACCCGGGGTTGGCCAGGGTTCGAATATGACATCTCTGGTCCATGGTTATGGTTATGGTTATGGTTATATAGTCAAAGAAAGCGATCAATACACAATACACAATACACAGACGAAAATCGAGAGAGATTTTTCGTAAAAATTTACTCTTCACGATGCCGTAATTGAAAACAGTAATATCAAAACTAGCATTATATTCGGAATAGTCGACATGGATGCAAAATGGCTCAATACAGATTTGAAGCGTCTACTTTATCGAGATGGGTTGGCGGAACTTTGGAACGAAATGATTCGCGACGGAGAAATTGTTGGTTCCTTTAGCGATGGCTTGATCAATGCCTCGGGTATAATATCGAGAAAAGGTATGGATACATGATTTGTTTTAATTAAGATTACCTGTAGCCTTACGACATTACGACGTATTACTTTAGGTGAAAGCGGTCATTACTATTGTAATATGAGGGTATTGTCATGTCTGTGTTGCGACGGTATCTGTGGTCCGCAACAAGGTTGCAACTGTGGACCGTGTCAAAAGCTAGACGAAGAGGAAGCGGCAAGAGCAAACGCGTTCGTGGAGAAAACCATTCCAGCTCGTCATATGATGGAATCGTGGCTTTGGGGACCTCAGCCATGTAAAGATTTTCCTTTTATTCGTGTTTATTTTCCTTTTATTGTTTATATATCCTTTTATTATTTATATATTCCTTTTATTTGTGTTTGCGTTATGCTCTTACTTTTCATCTTCCTTACAATTTTTCAGCTCTATCCGACTTGACCACGTGTATCGATTTACTAATCAAGGAACAAAGAAAATTATGTTACGAAGTTGCGAACAGCACGTTATCCGCTACACGATTGAAGCAGCGTTTGGTATTAGCACGACGATATTTTACTGCTCTTTCTCGTCATAAACCACAGGAGACTAAAGATATTCCGCAAACATCGAGACTCTCTACTAAATTACAAAAGATGTACGGTAATTTATTTTGAATTTAATGTAGAGAACATTGGGGTGTATAAAATATTCTCTTTTATATAAATGAATTTACGGTATTTATAATTATTTGTTAATTATTTACAATACGTTCAGGATGAGACCTAACGAGAACGCGACGTTACGTTTAGCACGAGTAGGATCTCGTGCGGCGCTAAATTTTTCATTCGCGTATCTAAGACGAGCTTGGAGATCCGGGGAGGATATAGAATTATGCAGCGAACTTCTGTCCGAATCGTTGGAAGCTTTACAGTCCTTGCCAGAAGCCACTCTTTTCGACGAAAACAACGTTTCCCAAGTTTGGCTCGAAGTAGTGGAGCGATCAGCGAAGTTCTTAAGACAAGTTGTTACAGGGTTCGTTTTTTCTTTAATTGAATCTTTGAGATTGAATCTTTAAGCGTTTATCTCGAATATAATATCATTTATCTCTAACAATAATAATAATACAGTGAAAAATGTCATTTTCAGAAATATAGTTAGCGGAAGATCGTGGTGCCCTATTCCCTTATCCGATCAACACACGGCTTTGTGTTTACTGTTGGAATTGGTAACGCAAAGAGCTACGCTGTCCAGTTTGTTAGATTCCGTTTGTTTGCTACTGTTTCTCAGCGATACGCACAAAAATCAAGATAATCGCGTAATGCCACCTGGAAGCACGGCACCATTGGTACCGCTACTGAGACGTTTGAACACGATTCCAGCCTCGAGATCGAGACAAATAGAGGAGAACGTGGCGCCAGACCCTTGTCAAGTTTTACTCAAGTACTTGAAGCTTCCCGAAGACGATACCACGTCCGTCGATTTACGAAAAGCAGCGGTGATCGTAATGTGTAATTTGAACAGATTGGCTGCTCCTTTGTTGCCTCCAGTCGTCACCGACAGCTTTCCGAAAAATTCGAATCAAACGTTTCAAAAAGTTTTAGCTTGGGGAATCGTGAAATTTGGCAACGGCTCGTCTCCATTTTATTGCGACTCGATCGCGGAGCTCGGTGTTAAGCAACTTTGTTGTACCGAGCGAGCCCTCATGATTCTATCAATCAGTGGAAACGTTTACACGATAAATTACGAACGGAGATCTCAGGACCTTCAAAAAGTGGAGGGATTCTCGGATAAGCCTGTAACGATGATTGCCTCTCACTGGGCCGGTAATCATTATTTGGCTTTAACGCAAGATAATTCTGTGTACTCGTGGGGGGAAGGAGTGGGTGGACGTTTAGGACACGGCGAGAGAAAATGGTACAAGGAACCGAAGCTGATCGAGGCATTGGCCGACAAGAACATCATGTTTATAGCTTGCGGAAATATGTTCTCGGCTGCGATTAGCTCGACCGGTGAATTGTACACTTGGGGAAGAGGAAATACAGGAAGACTCGGTCATGGACATTTGGACGATGTACTGATTCCAACGTTGGTAACCGCTCTGAACGGGCACATGGTCGTCCACGTGGCATGCGGTAGCGATGATTCGCAAACGTTGTGCGTGACCGCGTCGGGTGTGGTGTTTTCGTGGGGTGAGGGAGATTATAGAAAGCTCTCGAAAGGAGATTGCGATGGTTTCAAAACGCCGAAGGTCGTCGACAAATTATTGGACATAGACGTAGTAAAAGTGTATTGCGGCGGCCAATTTTCAGCGATTTTGACGGCGTACGGAGAGGTTTACAGTTGGGGTAAGAAAGAATCGTACCGCCTAGGCCACGGAAACGAAGAGTACGTGCAATACCCGAAAGTAATCGATGCGCTGAAAGGGAAAAAGGTAAAGGAATTGTACGTGGGAAGCTGGCACGTTCTCGCGTTAACGGAGGATCAGTTGGTGTACGGATGGGGGATGAACGATAACGGCCGAATCGACCCGGCGTTGGATACGGTCGTGCCTGAGCCTACTCTGTGCCCTAGCTTGTCCGGAAAGAATCCGATCGGTTTAACGTGTGGCCCGGCACAGAGTTTCGCGTGGTCAAACTCTACTACTCCGTCGGCTTGGCCGGTTGCCAGCAGAGTGGCGTTCGTCGTGGACATTTGCGAAGACACCTTTCGACAGCTGGATACTTTGTTGGGCCACGGCTGCGAAGGATTGCCGGGGACACGGCCGCCTACCCAGGATCGAGAATGTTTGGCGGTGGCCACCTTGAATTTGATTCGATTGCAGCTCCATACGATGGTAGCGCATAACGTCGATGGCAAGTACGTCGGACTCGCCGGTACTCCGTTGTTAAATTCTTTGAAACAACGATGCGTGACGCTCGCGAGCAGTACAGGAATTTTGGCGACGATTCAGGAGGCAGCGCAGGCCGTCTTGCAAACCGGTTGGAGCATTCTGTTGCCCACGGCGAACGAACGGGCAAAGACGCTGCCGAATTTCTTGTCGAAAGCGAACGGGAACTTGGATCAAACGAACACTAGCAACGGTCAACAGTTTATGGCGGATTTGTTGGTTTCCAGTTTGATGGCGGACGGTGGCCTGGAATTGGCGCTCAAGACAGCGATGAAAGCGGAAACGAGCAACGTAGCCGACGAGAACGAGTTTCTCGTGGCGAAGAACACGTGCAAATCCAGCGATGCGAAACAAGCCAAGGAACTGAACTCTGAGAAGAATAATGCGACCATATCTCTGTTGCAGCTGGTGAAACAGTTGATAAAAAACGGCACCTGTATTACGCAGTCCAGGCTACAGCAGGGCTGGACGGAACAGGTGGTCCGCCAGGAGGAATCGCAGCAAAGGAGCGATAGCTCTCCCAGCCTGAATCTGCTGCTAAAGTTTCAACGGTTACTGGTCGCTCGCGTTTACGAGTGCATCAACGAATCCAGAACGGAAAACTTGTGCGGCGACCAGGAGATGCTCGGTGCTGAATCGCTTTTAAAGAAGTACATATCGCAAATTTCCGTTCACGTGACCGAGATAATGTCATCGGCGGCCGAGTTGGCGAACGCGAGCGTCAAACAGTTCGTTTTCGTCGTCACCGTTCTAAGGGGCGACATCGTAAACGTTTTGCTCCCCGAGCTGGTTACGTGTCTGATATTGTTGCAGGTAGACTATCCGATGTTGCTGCTCGGTATGAACTGGATGGAAGTAATGACTCCGATGCTGGACGCTCTCGATCAGTTCAACAAGCTGATGCCGACGATCGAGAAAAACGAGGCGGACGATCTGTCCTGGCCGGGTATCATAGCTCCGCAGCACGGCACCAAGATCTCGATATCGGACGAGCCGTCCGTTATTCGTTGGGCCGATCTCGAGAATCATAATCGCGACGGCGGCCTTTGGGTGGTGGTGAACAACAACGTGTACGACGTTCAGGACGTACAAGACGTTCGACTCGATACGATAGCGATCGGCGGGAATTCGTTGGAGGGTCTGCAGAAAACCGTGGCTGGCTGGGACCAAAACCAAAC